AATAATAATAATAATAATAATAATAATAATAATAATAATAATAATAATAATAATAATAATAATAATTACACCCTAGTAAAAGGGCCAAGAAAACATTGTCACAGAGCATTCAACTGCAGGCCTGTGCATACCATGCCTATCCTTGTAATGCACCACACGAACAGTATTAAGAAAACCTTTCCTACAAGCAGCATTACCTAAGATTTACCTCATGCTGCTCCTTAAAGATTCTACCAACATTTGTACTGAAAATAAGATCAAACATGGGCAGCTTGCCAAGTAAACCAATTATTTAATTAAACTGGTAACCTATCAAAGTCTTAGCAAAGACCCCTGGACCGTATATGCAAATGTCTCCCAGACTGACACCAATGTTCTTCCAACTCGGCAACTTTATGATGCATGCCGGCTGGGGAATTCTGGGAGTTGAAGTCCACAAGCCTTAAAAGTTTCTCAAATTGGATACCACTGCTATAAAGCATACACATTGCCTCATCCAATTTTTAGCAGTCCTCCAGCCTTTCAAGTTTTCTCTTCTGTTTCTTCTCTCTATCTCCCTTCTGCATGCACTTAATTACAGCATCAGTTGGCAGTCCCAGATTCCCTTTGCTTTGAGGGAGTCCATAACTCAGAGGCTTTAATTTGCAGTGGGCTTAATAAAACTCTTGGCAGATGAAGAGCCAATTTCACAATCCAGTCCGCAAGTTCTAAATCTGAATGCCATGGCAGGAGATGCTCCCTCCAAGAATTAAAATATTGTTCCAGCCATCTCTTTGGGGTGAGAGCTTTGACACAGGCGCCGCCTCCTGTTTTCTTTTATCCAAAGATTTAATTTAAATTGTTTAATCGGGAACTGAAAGTTTGCCAAGACCACAGAACTGGTCACATTTGGGTAGCAGATGCAACGATAGGAAACTTTTCCTTCCGCATTTATGACCACAATTCAGCCCAAAATGTATGTTGCTATTGAGAAAGTTCTTAAGTGAATTTTCCCCCATTTTACAACCTGTCTTAGCACAGTTCTTCAGTGAATCAATGCAGTTGTTAAGTTAGTAACATGGTTGTTAAGGGAATCTGGTTTTCCCATTGACTTTGCTTGTCAAAAAGTCAGAAAAAGTGATCGCATAAACCTGGGACACTGCAAACATCATCAATATGAATCAGTTGTCAAGCTTCTGAATTTTGATCACGTGACCAGGGGGATGCTGCAACGGTTGTAAGTGTGAAAAGCGGTCATAAGTCACTTTTTCCAGTGCCATTGTAACTTCAAATGGTCACAAAACGAACTGTTGTAAGTTGAGAACTATCTGTCCAGGAATTCTATAATTCAGTTATTGAATTTGCACTTCTCATTTACTGGCTGAATAAACTGCAATCCCATTGCCTCCTTTCTGTTTATAGCTAGTCCTCGACTTATGACTGTAACGGAACCTGAAATTATGGTTTGTAAGTCACATCAGTCATTAAATGGGTCATCATGTGACCAACCTGATTTTATGATCTTATTTTTACTTTATGACATTTTTTTTTGTGGTGGTCGTTAAGGGAATGCTACACTCATTAAGCAGACCCATTGCTCTTTTGCCAGAAACTGGAAGTAAATGCTAGTTTCCATTAAAAGAAACACACCCCATAAATTATGGTCATGTCACTGCGGGATGCTGTGAACAGCCATAAGTACAAGCACGTGAGATTGGCAGGGAGGGGAGAGAGCCAGAGGTGGTATTCAGCAGGTTCTGACCGGTTCTGGAGAACCGATAGCGGACATTTTGAGTAGTTCAGAGAACTGGCAAATCCCACCTCTGACTGGCCCCGCCCCCATCTCTTCTCTGCCTCCTGAGTCCAGCTGATTGGCTGGGTCTTTTTTGGTTGCCCTGCACAGGAGAACGGAGCTGGAAAGCAGGTTAGTGGGGTGAGGAGGGAATGGGATTTTGCAGTCTCCTTCTCCTGCCAAGCCCACCAAAGAACCGGTAGTAAAAATTTTTGAATCCCACCACTGGAGAAAGCCCATTGTCAGTTCTTTGTAACTTTGAACATTCCCCAAGTAATCTTCCCTGATAAACGAGACTTGCAACATCCCTTTGAGAAGGACTGATTGGCAGATAGAAAACAGTGAGGGTAATTGCTCTCAGAAATAGTCTATACACACACACACACACACACACACACACACAAACAAACAAACACACACACACGAAATTCAGTGGACTACCATCATCTTAGCCCTCCAGAAGGCTGCAAAGCCTTGCCTTTTCCCAATTTGTCACTGTTGTATCTTATGAAAGTCTTGTGTGGTGTCAATTTGTATCTTACGAAAGTCTTGTGTGGTGCCTGAGATCTTGCTTTTCCCCCCCTAGTCTGTATTATTTCACTGGGTTATGATTTTTATATTGTCGTTGTAAGTATTGTGAGCCACTCAGAGGTATGCACTTAAGATTAGCAGCTATAATATTTTTGAGAGGCCCTTGATGGTCTCTGAGCTTGGTTGTTTTGTTGCAGGCGTTTCATTACCCAACTAGGTAACATCATCAGTGCTAATGGTGCACTTTGGGGTAATGACATGCCTGCAACCAAGCTCAGAGAGTACCAAGGATCCCTCATGTCAACCCGGAGTTACAAATATTCTTCTCCTTTATCAGTATAACAATTTTCCAAATTATTAAATATATCCTAGAATGTATTATAACAGTTTTGGTGCCAGTTTTTAGCACTCACCATTGAAGAAGGCTGCACCGCTCACTTATTTGATCTAAATGTCTTCCCACTGATTTCTGGTTTATGTGTTATTTTCTTTAGGTGGACCTATCATGACTTCTTGAATCGGTATCGAGTGCTTATGAAAGACAAAAGTATTTCGAAAAAGAAAGACAAGACACTGATTTGTAAAATATTATTGGAAAGCCTAATTAAGGTATGATGCCAGAGCTACTGTATATTATTAGATCAATCAACCAACCAATCAGGTTGGTACATGATCCAGCATCCCTATAGTCCTAAATCCATAATTCTACCTCTCCGTTTAACTATAGCCCAAAGCACCTGAAAAATCATTGCAACTCATTCAAAATCATTGCAACTTTTTTGTCAGAAGATGTGAAAAAGAATGATGGGATCAGTGGAATTACCGACTTGTCTCAAAGAATCATTTCAATATAGCTGAATTCTTATTGAAAAAAAATATTTGCCTGTTGTCATGTTCCTATTTTAACCATATTTTGTTAAGGACCAACTTGGATACATCTTATTTGTTCTACCATATTTAATTTGTATTTTGTTTCAGCCAAGCAAAACACTCAGATTAGGTCACATACTGCATTAAATAATGGTATGCTCAAATTTGGTGGAGGGAAGGAAGGAAGGAAAATCTAGGGATGGAGAAGGGAAGGAGGGGAAACTAGGAAGATGGGAAGAAGGAAGGGAGGGAAGGAAGGAAAATCTAGGGAAGGGCGGGGAAACGGAAGAAGGGGAAGGAAGGAAAATCTAGGGAGGGGGGAGGGAGGGAGGGAGGGAAGGGAAACTGGGAAGAAAGAAGGGAAAGGAGAGAGGGAGGAAGAAAGGATTTTTAAAACTCTTGGTTTTCCTTTTATACTTTTCCAAGGATCCTGACCAGTTTCAGTTTGGACGTACAAAGATTTTTTTCCGTGCTGGCCAGGTGGCCTACTTGGAAAAATTGCGGGCAGATAAGTTCCGGAGTGCCACCATCATGATACAGAAGACCGTGCGTGGCTGGATGCAGAGGAGAAAGTACAGGAAAACCAGGGAGGCAGCTTTAATTATCCAGAGGTTCACCCGAGGATATCTGGCACGCAGGTAAGCATAAAGTGAACATTTTCCCCAAGAGAATTTGCTTGCTGGAAATGTGGGAATTTCTTCACCTAGCATATATGTGGCGGCATAGCGGCTTACTGGCTAAGATGCTGGGCTTGGCAGCTAGAAAGCCAGCAACCCAGGTTCGAGACCTGAGACCTGAGTGCAAGCACGATGGGTGAACTCCCATCCTCACCCCAGCTCCTACCAGCCTAGCAGTTGGAAAGCATGAAAATGCGAGTAGATAAAGAGGTGGTGTGGTTTGCCGGCAGCTGGTGCAGATGGCAGTGGAGTCAGACAGTGAGGAAGAAAGGGGACCAGGCAGGGAGTCTGGAGAAGGCTTGGACGAGGGTCCTGCGTTCGATGCAGGGATAGGGCCAGGACCATCTGAGAATGGGGTGCTACCTCCGGAGCCTCTGGAGTCTGGCAGCAGTGAGGCAGAGGACCCAGGGGAGCCTGTTCCCAGTGCGTGTGTGTGCAGAGCTGCTAGAAGGCGAGAGCAGCTGAATCAGAAGGGGCAACTCGGGAGTAAGGCTGGGAGGTGATTGCCTCTCCCATAAGGGATAAAAGTCAGACCTCAATGACAAACTCTTTGCAGGAAGCAAAGTAGATTCTGAGTTGTCCTTGAAGCTCTGTGTACTCTGGTCGGTTTTTTTCTGGTACTTTGGTTGGTTTCTGTTATAATTAATTTGGATACTTCTGTTTTTGGCAGCATTCCACAGCACCGAAAGGCAGGTGCTTATCTTGGGGAACTGTTTAAGATTAGTTCTGGCTTGGAATGAAAGTAATTCCCAGCATTGCATTAAATTAGGTTTTACTTTTAAAACAAGGTTGTGTTTCATTACGTTTGAGGAAACCTGGGTCAGAACAATCGGTACCATTTTAGTGGGAAGGTAATAGCGCTCCTTGACATCATGCAGGCAACATGACCATGGAAATGTCTTAGGGCAACATTGGCTCAAAGGCCTTGAAACAGAGATGAGCACCGCCCGCCTAGAGTCAACAATGACTAGCAGAGTAAAATCCCCAGGGATTCCTTTGTATATGGAAAGCTATTAAGTTGGAGAGCTTCAGTTTTAGAATAAGAAGTTTTTATGCGAGCAAGGTTGAAAATTAGATATATGGGTTATGTGAATTTTATTAGAGAGCTTAAAGACCGTTTAGCCCCTGAGTCCAATGCTCTGTTCCATACAGAAATATATATTTAAGCTATTCAAACCGATAGCTATTCAGCTTTCTTGGAGCACATCTGGTAAAGCTGCATCTATCATGTCACTAGCAGTTATTAAACTGTTCTTCTAGGATTTTTCTCTCTCTCTTAATAGTAAGCTATTTTATTCATAAATTGGGAAACTGCCTGGGATACAGGCAATTTCTATGACATTTCTTTTTAAGGTTTCCACCTAACCCAAAAACCCCAGTTACTACAATTAACCCAGTCACAAAACATACAGAAAGAATAAAAAGAAAGAACCTCAACAAAAAGGACATTTTTTTAGAATTACTGTATAAAAATTATTTTTAACCACAAATGAAACCTTGACTTGCCACACTTTTTTGCCTATAGTAGATAATTAAAAAACAAAAGCGCAAAGAATATTATTCAGTGTCCTGCTCTCTGAACTGCCACCGGTACTAGAGTAATAAAATTCTCTTTATGCTCACGCTACCACAAAGGAAATAGAATAAATTTCTAATGCCCCCAGTCATAGTTTTCAGCTCATATCCTTGTCTGGTACATTGGGGGAAAACAATGTGACAGTGGCTGTGATGGAAAGTACACAAAGAAAGGTCATTTGTAAAAAAATATAAGTAGAAATGTTTAAATTTTTCAAGATCTTCTGAGCTCCTTGCTACCATTCCTCTGCTCCAGGGGTCCCCAACCTGGGCCATGGCCTATTTGCAAGCAGACTGTGTGAAGGCCCGGGTAGCGGGCGCATATGCGTGGGCACACAACCCCACTCGCACAAGTGGTTGCAGCCCTGCGTGCACGAGCATCATGGGGCCTCACGGCCCTACTTGCGCGAGCATCGTGGGCACTCTCAGCTCCGCTCGCAAGCACTCAGGGCCTTGTACAATTGTCGTGGGCTCTCTCGGCCCCACTTATGTGACCAAATGGGTGCTTGTGCATGTGCACGCCTGCACGCACATATTCACCCCTCCCACAAATCCATCCCCTCTTCCCCCCCTTCCTCGCTCTGGACCACCAACCCAGAAAGGTTGGGGAACTCTCCTCTGCTTCATTTAGCATCCCTGTGTGATGACCTGGGGTGTGGCACAAAGGCAAGATAATCAAAAAGATTCCCTTTATTATCTTCAACTTTGCCCCCAATATCCTGGTTACCTTCTGGCTAGAGAAAAACTTTCCCAGGAACAGCTTTGACTGCAGAAAATTAAGTCCAAAACATGAGCAACACAAACTGTAACTTAAAGTCCAAACAAGCCAAACTAAAGTAATTAGCTTGGCAGGGCACGAGCAAGAATTTCAGACTTGAAGGCACAGCACAACTCACACAGTTGGGAAGATGCCAGGAACACAGATAAGCCACGACAACACAGAATAAGCTCACATTTGCTCCCAGCAGCCTGCCGCACGCAGCCTGCCTTTCTTATCAACTGTCTTCCCAGCTGTGGCTAATGAAGGTAATCAGGGCCCTTTCCTCCCCCGTAAGCCACGCAACCCACATTGCTCTCTTCTCCGTTCCTTCCTGCATGCCCTAGGATGAAGAGGGGGGGGGGCTCTGGTTCTTCATCTGAACTCCCTCTCCCTTGTTCTATTTCTTCCCTGCTCTGCCCAGCTGCAGTTTGCCCTTCCCCAGCCTCCTTCCCCGATGGGGCCACACTCCCATTCCCTGTCAGCTCTCTGGCTTCCTTCTCAGATTCAGACTCTGACAGGGGCATGACATCTTGTCCGATTGAGTTAAGTCCAGTTGCCTAGCAACCCTTCAAAGTTAGAACAGACCTTTCCTCCAAACCTCCTTATGTTCTGATTTCAAAGTTATGACTGCTGCCCCTCCCCCAATGGGGTCACATGATCACCTTTTGTGTTCTTGGCAAATGGCTCACTTTTATGGCCATTTGCAGCCACATGACTGCAGGTTTTTTTATGCCCTTTTTTTTTGCCGGTTTCTAATATTTGCTTCCAGTTTCTGACAAAAATTGCTAGTTGAATAAAATGGATTTGTTTAATGACTGCAGCGTCCGCTTAATGTCTGCAGCATTTGTTTAATGATTGCTGCAAAAAAAAAAAGTTATAACATTGAATACAGTCACACGATAACCTGTAATGGCTTATTAACTGTAATTCTGGGCTCAATTGTGATCATAACGTTGTGGACTACCTATAACCAGACATTTTCCACAAAAGTTGAGACCAAGATTGAATGTTACTATTGTGGCTAAATTGGCATGGGAGAGATACATTCAGACAAAAATGCAATAAAACTTTATTGGATGTAGTGATGAAGAATAATGGCTGCTCTGAGTCTAGAAAATAGAGTTGAAATAGTAAAACTTTCCACTGACAGAAAAATGAATTCTCTACAAACTTTGTAGAGCTACAGCAATTCAAAGGAAAACATCTTCAGTGGGACTGCCGCTTTTATTAATTCAATGTTTGGTTTAGTGATTAGGCTAGAAAGCGGGAGATACTGAGTTCAAGCAATGACCATTTTTTCACAGTCAGCATCTCCATGGACATACGATCAAAATTTAGACGCTTGGCAACTGGTTCATATTTATGAGCGTTGCCATATCCTGAGGATATGTGAACAGCTTTTGCGCCCTTATGACAATCAAAGTCAATGGGGAAGCCAGATTCACTTAACAACCACCTTACTAGCCTAAAACCTGCAACGTTTCACTTCACAGCTGTGGCAAGAAAGGCTGTAAAATGGGGCACAATTCACTTAACAAATGTCTCACTTAGCAAAGGAGGTTTTGGGCTCCATTCTAATCGTAAGTCGAGGACTACCTGTGTTAGTGAGGACGTCAACTAAAAAAATACTTCTTCTTTGGTCTTTTTAGTTGCCAGCAGAAAGGGGGAAAGCAGTGCATTCCTTAAATGCTTCAGATAATCGCTTTGGCAGCTGAAGCTGTTGACACTCAAGATTATTACTGGAGAGCATGATTGATGACTCCTGGCTATGAATGTGTCTCGTTGGAGAATATACATCCAGGGGGTGGGAGGAAGGCCAGAGTCAAGGGTGAAAGGAATGATGTGTCAGAGTCGGCTGCAACCAGGAAACACCGACATGTTAACTCCTAATAAATCAATCTTTTTTACTCTGAGAGATGTGGCTAGAGACTTATGATTTGAATGGGGGTGCATGTTGAAGCCTTGACAGAGGAGCTATCTTTACCCTTTTTCTCTCACATACAACACACACAAACACAACTCTGGGCTGAGTTGCTCCTTACTCCTCTGGACTGCAGCTCCTCCTTCCTAGGATTCCACCTCCTTCCTATATTCCATCACATATCATGAGCCTAAGATGAAGCACCACGTATTAGTACTCGTTGTGAAGTATATTGCTTTGAGCTTCCGGAGAAGAAGTAGGAAGTGAAACAAATAAATAAATGAAGTGGAAATTGGTGGGGGGGTTTATAACTCTTATGGCTGTTTTGCAGTTGGGGCCACTATTGACTTATTTTCAAAACCAAGGAACATGAAGAAGGCAACAGCACACTTAAAGGTATTGTGGTCAATAACTCACTTCTGCAAATGATGTCCATTCAGGACAAGGCACAATCCATCGCCAACAAATGTTGAGACTCTGTTGGAAACGGGATGGAGTTAAAAAAAAAAAAACTTGGAGGAAAGAACATCAGACTGACAGGAAATCAGTACAGGAGAACTTCTGTTAGGAGCAATTGGTTTGCATTGTCCTTATTTATCGTTACTAAACCTTTATCCCCCTCGCCCTTCTGCAGATTGGCGGATCATCTAAGGAAAACAAGAGCTGCCATTATTTTCCAGAAACAATATCGAATGTTAAGGATACGCCGGGCCTACCAAGCCATCCGCCAAGCAGCTATCACGATCCAGTCCTTCACCCGAGGAATGTTCGTTAGAAAGAACTATCAAAAGGTTCGTTTCTTTGACTTTGTCTTCAGGGACACACAGAAAGGTTTACATTTCAGTAGCCCTGGTTTGTTTGTTTTTTTCTTCCGTTTCATGCTTCCTGGGAGTCAGATACAAGTCACCTTCAACTTATGACCAATAATTTATGGACCATTTTGAATGATGGCTTCCAAAAGGTCTCATAAAGAGACTTCTGGCCATCATAAAATGTTGTGCAAATGAAGAAGAATATTTGCAACTGAGGGCTGCAATGAGGGGTCCTTGGTGCTCTCTGAGCGTGGTTGTTTTCTTGCAGATGTTTCATTACCCAACTAGGTAACCTCATCAATGCACTGGTGATGTGCATTGAAACATCTGCAAGAAAACAGTCAAGCTCAGAAAGCACCAAGGATGCCTCAATGTTGTGCAGCCCTATTCAGTCTCCTTGGTGATCACATGATTGCATTTCGGGCACTTGGTGATCAGCTCACTTTAACAACTGGTTGAAGTGTCCTGCGGTCATATAACCATGGTTTGATTTTTTTTTAACGACAAAAACCACTCATCAAGACTTAAGAGCACGTGAATAGCTCAACAACCATTGTAAAACAGTCGTAAAACCAGGTCCAGTCACGTCAGTTCCTCAATCTTCACGACATATGACTGAAATCCCAGTCCCAATTGTGGTCCTTAAATCAAGGACTACCTGTATAATCTTTAGTTTGTACCAGGTTCTTGGGTCCATGCCAACAAATACAATGCTGGATATATTAGTTAATTTTCTTTTGAAGGAAATTAAGGGAGTTCGTCCTTGGTTCTATGAATCAGTGGATGTACATATATGTTTTTGCATACCTTTGTTGTCTTAGTTTGGTTTAGTATTTCACAGTCAATCACAAATATAGTAAAACAGATTAAAAACAAATACTTAAAAAAAACTGCTGAAAAGGAGCAGATAGGTGTTAATATAGTTATTGACCAATAAATAAATATCTGCCACTTTTTTCCTTTTAATTCAAGTTGGACTCGATTGTAAAACTGTAAAAAATTCATTATGTTAAAGATAGATAAAGATTTTGAGGTCCTCAACAATGCTATCAGACCATCAACATCACTTTTAAAAAATATTCAATCTGTCTTTAATACCATCTTCGGTCCTGTGTAAAAAATTTCTGAATTCCTGTTGCCTCCAGTGTAATTTAAGCTGCTTACTCTTCATCTGGATTACAAGTCTTGACTTTACTCAGAGCAAGCCGAATCACTTCACACTTGGTTGTAAATTTCAAATTTCAAAACACGGGTTTGCTATCTTGCATCTCTTAACCTTCGTTCTCTAACTGAATAAGATTGGTAACAGAAAGGACATCTCAAAATGAGCTACACTGGGAATCAAGGAGTAGGTGCATCTGGTCCAGCGTTCTCAATCCTTATTAGCAGCTCCTGTTAAAGTCTTAGATAGATATCTTGCCCATCAGTGTCCATGGTTTGAGGTATCTCTTCCTGTTTCATTGATAATTAACCTGGAAAGACAGCCATCCATCCTATATATAAAACCTGAGCCCAACATTGATATTAATCCTATAACTTAGAGCAGAGGTCTCCAAACTTGGCAAGTTTAAGACTTGGGGACTTCAACTCCCAGATTTCCTGAGCTAACATGACTAGAGGAAGAATTCTAGGAGTTGAAGTCCACAAGTCTTAAAGCTGTCAACTTTGAAGATGCCTCACTTAGAGGTTCACTTTGAAATCCTCAAATGAATGTCATCCTGTCTAAAGAGTACGAAGGTTTTATTTTCTTCTGAAGTAACCTTCAAACTGCTCTTGAAGGATTAACTAGTGACATACTCAACAGGCTATATCCAGTGTTTCTTAGAATACAAATGGGTAGCTTATTGCTATAGGGATTGAAGTTGTTTGACAGGTGAGGGCAAGAGGTTCTAAGAATAATAACTCACACCCTTGTTACCTCTAGATTAGATTACGGCAGTGTGATATACCTGGGACTGACCTTGAAGATTTCCCAAAAATTACAGTTGGGGTAAAAAGCAGCAGGCTACTGGATCAGAGCTGATTAACTTTACAGCATCTAAGCTGTAGGAACTTGACTTTCAGTAGGTATCTAAGCAAAAGAGGCTGGTAATAGCCCATAAAACAACTTGAACCTGAGGCCAGATATCTTTAGGACTTCTCCAAAGAGGTTAATTATATCTGGGAGTAGATGCTCCAGGTTTTCTCAGTCCAGGAGGGTAGAAGCAGAGCGTTGTAATAGTTGTCTAGCTTCTTCCATAAGTCTCTCCATTGAATTCCAAATGGTTCCCTCCATGGGTCATCTTTAGCTGTCAAGAGTTCGGCTTCTTAGGCAGTTCTTAGAGATCGAACAGCTTGTTCATTGTATTCTCACTTTATTCCTGTTTTAGTTTAATATCATTAGCAATATTAATTTTATTTTTAACTCATTGATTGGGGTATTTGAATTAGGTTCTAATTTATTATGGATTGAGATGCTGCGCATTCTCTTTGCATCTATTAGCTGCTTTGACCACTCAGGCCAAACTGTAAGAGAAGAACAGACAGAGCCTGGTGGTGGAGTTAAACAAGTAATCAGCCTAGAATCAAAGAGTCTAAATCCAACCTCTCGTGAATTCTATTGACTTTTATCTAGCATCAATTTAGTCCTGAAAGTTAGCTGACTACATTTCTGTGCATAGGCATGAACAACAGACCATTTTAATTGGAATAGCAGACTTATATACCGCTTCACAGTGTTTTACAGCCCTCTTCAAGCGGTTTACAGAGTCAGCATATTGCCCCCAGGAATCCTATGTGTGGTCCTGTTTCTTCACACTTGCCACAATCTAAGGGAAGAAGAGAGTATCTACTTGTCATCTGGATTATGCTTAGTTAAATGAATCACGGTGTTTTAAATAAAGGAAACTTGCTTTCTGTCTTTCTCCTAACCAAGCAGTTAAATGAAAGATGCTTTTCGTGATATCCATGTATTTCTGAGTGAATGCACGAAGCTCGGGAAAGCATTCACTGATAGCAGGACCATCTGTTCTCTGCATCCAAAACTAACTGTATTATAACCATTTACTTCTTTCTAATGAGGCATTCTGCTACTTAACTTCTCGGAATAATTTAAAGCACTAATGAGGGACCCCTGCTGAATTCAGATGATCTCCAACATTGAATCCTTAAGAGTTTTTGTAATTTAGTAGTCTATAAGTGTTTGGAAATAAGGAAGAAGTTGAGAAAACATTATTTGGAAGTATTTGCTATAATTAATCCCCAGTGGGTTACCTCTATATGTACCATATGGGGAAATAATATATATAAGAAAGCTCAAATGTTAACTTAGTGATATTGTTCCATAGCTTTTAGCCTTGTCTTCCCTTTACTTTTTGCATTATTTAATAATTTATTACCTAACAGGAAGAAATTCCTGGACCGCATAATAATATTTCATTTTCACGTATTTAAAGGCATAACTTGTGAGTGTACATCACTTAAGTTTCATTGATACCTTCTATTTCTTTAGTAACTCTTTCCATGTAGGGTTAATCTTGCCAGCATTTTTTGATTGTTGGGGGTTCCCCCCCCCCCCCCCCCCCCAGATCACTTTCAGAGTCCAGAAGCATAAACTGTAGATATTTCAATGTTTAAGCTACACAGACAGAAGCCATTTTTCTCCAGTTCTTCCAAGGCTTAATGAAGCCACATGGAAAAGAACCTCAGGGCAAAATGAAAAGATTATCAAACATCAAGCTAGAGAGAAAAATCTTCACACTTTCTGAGCCTAAGAGACACTACTCAGGAGCATATACTGAGTTGCCATTTTCATTCGTCTTAAACCCGGTGTCCAACCTTGGCAACTTTAAGAATGGTGCGCTTCAACTCTCAGAATTTCCTAACCAGTCCACAAGCCTTAAATGTTTTTATGGAGATTCTCAGTCATCCAGGCCATGGTTGTCCGAAAGGTGCTTTTTCAAAAGGCAACTGGACTTTCTTTGTTTTTCTTTGAAGACGTTTCACTTCTCATCCAAGAAGCTTCTTTAGTTTGGGGCTTCAATTCTTCACTACCAAGTGCATACATGTTATTGGCTATTCACTGTTCACAATTGCAGCAAATAGTGTGAATTTGCATTCCTCATATGAGGAATGAATCAAGTGAGAAACTGCTGTGTGAATAATACCACAGTCTTGATTTTAATACAATTACTATGTTGGAATGGATCCAGTTGAATGTAATGCGAAGATGGTGAAAAAAAATAGATCAAGGTTCTACTGAAACAAATCACTGCACTATTCTTAATAGATTAAATTGCTTACTGGCTCCTTATTTTAATAGTAGCACAACTGAAACACTGATCCATATTTCTATATAATATCCATACCTGCAGCCAGTGTAAAGATGTTCTATGGATTTAACCTAATGTTTGGAATGGTTTGATACTTTCAGCCACAAACGAACTGTACAAAATACATTTTCAAAACATGTTTAGCTAAAATGGAGTGGGTTAATTTGTATAGCTAGGATATTAAAACTTCTGACTTATGGCAAACCAAATACAGAATTGTTTTTATATGGCATACAAGTTATGGGCCATTTCTTGCGTGATACCCCATTTTATTGATTTTGGGGTTCTAGTAAAACAAAGATAACCTTGCAAGCTTTATACCTGATACATATTCATATGTGACCTAATTCACCAATTTGTACTTAGCTGCAGGAACACCCTGTGCAGAGAAACTCAGTAATGTGCCTGTTTCCACTTTTGCACATTTTATAACGTCTTAGGCTTAAGTTGATGATGTAATGTTGACCCTGCCGTCTCTGTAGGGACCATAATGGATGTTACAAATATTTGGAGATTTGGTGACTTCTTAGACGGTTGAATGGACTCCTAAGGTCAAAAATAATATTTCCTTAGTGCCATTTCTTCTTCCTCATACAAGTGCAGAAAATCAAAATGTGGCCAAACAATAAAGCATCAGTTGGTGATGAACATTTTATGGCAAAACTGTGACCATTAACCTTCTCTAGGTAGATGCATGAATTGTTCCCACGGACTGCTTGTGAAATTTTGTGGTGGGGAATTTTCTTCCCACAGTGTTGCTGTCATGATGTATTGAATTTCAACTCTCATAACCACCCACAATGTAAGCGGGGGATTATGGAAGTCAGAAGATATCAAGAGACCACTATATTAAGAACGGCTCTTGTGTATCAACTTTCTGATGCCTTTGCTCCTCAAAAACTGAGACATTCAAAGCTGTATATCCTCTAGAAGTATGATCTTAATCTTATCAGGATGGCCCTCACTGAAAACATTGGGAGCACTTTTTGATTATGCTCTGTTGAAAAAAAACAACAACCCAAATTCGTATTTATCGTTAGAGAATGATCAATGACAACTAACATCTCCTATATGGTGTTTGGTACGTTGATGCATGCTACCATATTTTTTCCCTCTCTTCTGTATGTTGCTATGTGTTCATGTGCTTTTAAGATACTTATGGAGTACAAGGCCATCATCCTCCAGAAACACACTCGAGCTTGGCTGGCTAGGAAGAATTTATCCAAGTTCAGATGTGCGGCTGTGATTATCCAGTGCTATTTCAGGCGCATGAAAGCCAAACAAGAGCTGAAAGCTCTGAAGATCGAGGCCCGGTCAGCCGAGCACTTGAAGAGGCTCAACATTGGCATGGAGAACAAAGTTGTGCAACTACAGAGAAAGATAGATGAACAGGTAAAATCCCACCAAGTCTTACTCTGTTGTGTGTAGTAGCTACATCACCCTCATGCTCTTCATGGACCTATTTGCTAAAAGTTGCCTCCATTTTGTTTGCCTCTGTATCCACAGAATATTGTCTAGCTCTACAACTTGGTAGAATAGGTTGAAACTATGTATGAAAAACGCCAAGGTATTGCGTTTTCAGTTGGTGCTTTAGTGAAAATTTCTTCATTTTCTTTTTTATAGCTAGGTAGTTCTTGACCTAGGACCATAATTGAGCCCAAAATTTCTGTTGCTGAATGAATTTAAGTGATTTTTCCTCCATTTTATAAACAATTGAAACAGTTGTTAAATGAATCACTGCAGTTGTTAAGTTAGTGACATGGTTGTTAAGTGAATCTGGCTGTGATGTCCCAGGGTGTGACACAAAGGCAACACAGTCAAATAAACAATAAGAGTCCCTTTATTATCTCCAACTTTGCCCCCAACGTCCAGGTTACCTTCAGGCTGGAGAAAAACTCTCCCAGGAACAGCCTTTAACTGTAGAAAATTCAGTCCAAAACAAGGTACACAAAAACTGTAACTTAAAATCCAAACAAACCAAACTGAAGTAATTAGTTTGACAAGGAAGGAGCAGAAATTTCAGACTTGAAAGTATGGCAAAGCTCACACAGTTGGGAAGATGCCAGGAACACAGATAAGCCACTATGATACAGGATAAAGTCACGTTTGCTCCCAACAGCTTGCTGCATGCAATTTGCCTTTTTTTATACACTGTGTTCCCAGCTGCAGCTAATGAAGGGAATCAGGGCCCTTTCCTCCCCCGTAAGCCACGCAACCCATGTTGCTCTCTTCTCCGTTCCTCCCTGTGTGCCCTTGGGGGTGGGCCTGGGTCTTCCTCTGAATTCCCTCTCCTTTGTTTCACCTCTCCCCTGCTCTGCCCAGCCAGACTTTGCCCTTCCCCAGTTTCTTCTACAACCAATGGAGCCACACTCCCACTCCCTGTCAGCTGTTCGTCTTCCTCCTCCGAATCAGATTCTGACAGGGATATGACACTGGCTTCCCTTTTGACTTTGCTTGTCAGATGGTCGCAAAAGGTGGTCTCATGTCCCAGGAACTGATAAATATGAGTCAGTTGGCAAGAGTCCAGATTTTCATCACTTCCAGGGGGATGCTGCAACAGTCATAATTGTGAAAAACAGTCATAAGCCACTTTTTTCAGTGTCCTAACTTTGGTCACTAAATGAACTGTTGTAACTCAAGGGCTACTTGTGTCTGGATCTCCCTAGTGTTCTGAACTGAACTATTTGCTAATGGTTGAGGTTTTTGTTTTGCCTCCCTGACCACAAAATATTGTCCAGCTCTGCAACTTGGTAGAACAGGTTGTAAGTATAAAATTGTCAAGGCTTGACCATTTCCCTTTAGTGCTTTCGTGAACATTTCTTTGTTTTCTTTTTCTCAAGCCTCTTTCCGTTTGATGACAAAGACTTTGCTTTGCTAATTTCTCCTGGGTAGGCAATGTGCAGACTTTCCACAGCGCAGTCATATATTTCCTCTTTGGCTGTCTGAGCTTCTGCTAAAACCTAAGAGAAGCTCTAATGCTGGGAATTTTCCAGGAGGCTTCCAAGGATGCCAGTTGGCCCTAAGATGTTTTTTTTTAAGGCAAGGAGCAGTGAAATTTAAACTCATAAGTTGAGACAAGGAGTGAAAGCTGTTAAGTAAAGAAATTAAATATCCAGGATGAATGATGACGGGACTCAGGAAAGTTACGTGAGGACTCCATAAGGCTGTGTGGAGTTTGGGAAATAATTCACAAAATTATTTGTGGCAAGTTTCTTTCTTAAGGAAATGAGGGTACGTTCTGAATAGTCTCAGGCTGGGATGAGTAGATTTCGTTCTTGGAGCTATAGGCTAGATAATTTTGGGTGAGAGGGCAAATGTATGCCAAATTCTGGACTACTGTTTCTCAACCTTATCAGTTTTAAGAGGTTTGAACTTCAACTCCCAGAATTCAAGTTGAAGGGCATAGGAACACCAACCTCTCTGAATCTCTTTAAAGCAACTACCAGTATATAACTGCAGCTGCTTCACAGTCCCAGCTGCTTTAAAGAGTTGTAAGTACAATGTCAAGGATCCTACATGTCAAAACACCTTTCTATATTTCTATTTACAATATTGCAATTCTCTAACATCTGTTCCAGGGGGCTTCAAATTTGGAAACTTTAAGATTGGCGGACTTCAACTCCCAAACTCCCCAGCCAGCATTCTGGGAATTGAAGTCTACATGTCTTAAAGTTGTGAAGTTCAGAGACCCCTGATTTAGTTATTTAAAAGTATGGGTGAGTTGTATTTTTACAGATCTTTCAACTGAGTAAAATTATCACACAATAATCTCAGGCTTTTCTCACATAGCTTATGTCTTAACATCACTGTTGAAAAAAGAAAATTCCACACACAAAAAACCCCTCTTGAAATAACTAGAAATAAATCTAAAGGTCAAAGCTGGCCAAACAAATTGACAGATAGATGTTTTCAATATCCAGCAGCATAAAGCCAAAAGCCAAGCCGTGTAACCTGGCTTGATCCTAGCTCAGGCTGCATTAAATAAGAAAACGGAAAAATTGTAAAGAGAAATCAGCTCTGTCTTCCATTTTATCAGGAAGGTAAATGAAAGCAAAGCCAGGCTTTGCTATTAAGCCTCTTTTGTGCCACTCCTCCAGCACTTATGGTCACTGAATGCTGGAAAAGCTAAACTAACAGTGTGTATGACAACAATCTCAGTTTCCTTATCAAGGACTACAAACAGAACCACCGCTTTCTTTTTTTTAGAAGAAGGTACATATTTTTTTCTGGCTCTCTCCTTCCATACAAAATAGATTTGCATTCGTTGCTCTCTCTTGGAGAGTTTCATAGCTGGAAACTCCTGATGAGTCTTGGTCTAAGTTGGCTGGAAAGCAACCTTCTTTCCAGGTTCAAGATCCGAGCACCACATGATAGGGTGAGCTCCCATTCTCGCCCCCGTTTCTGCCAATCTAGCAGCTTGAAAGCATGCAAATGCGAGTAGATCAATAGTCACCATTTCGGTGGGAAGGTAATAGCATTTCGTGACATCATGCTGGCCACATGATTGTGGAAATATCTTTGGACATCAATGGTTCAATGGCCTTGAAACAGAGTTAAGCACCACCCTCTATGATCAGCAATGATTAGCAGAGTAAAATCTTCTTTACCTTAACTTGGTCTAAATCAGGGGTCAGCAAGCTTTGGGTTTGAAGTGGATGATGATCCCTGTGAGTGGATCATGGGCCTCCTTCTCCAGTGAACCCTGACAATTTGGAGGTCTCTCTCGGCAAAGCATAGGGACAGGTCTTTTTCTTAAGAAAATGAAGTTGTTTCATGTTTGGGATGAAAGGCTGGAAAATTTTGGATGGCCCAAAGTGGCTTGCAGGCCATAGGTTGCCAACTTCTGGACCAGTTTCTCAATGTCATCAACTTTAGGAAGGGCGGACTTCAATATCCAGAGGATACTGTTAGATTCTCCCCAGTGATTGTTGCTATTGGAAGATTTGGACGTAGCTTTTGTTTTAGACTTGTATTTCTTAACCTTGGCAAATTTAAGATGTGTGACCAACTCCCAGAATTATCCAGCCAGCCCAGTTCGTTTTCTCTGATCTTCTTTTGTTAAGATGCTGCTTTTATTAAGCATCACTTTTCTTTTGATTATTATTATTAGTATTTTTTCTTATCATTTGTTCCATTGACTGTAAATCAGTGAACTAAGGGCATTTTGCTATATCTGCCAAATGTTAGGCATATGAATTAGGTGGTGCTGTTTGAAACTAAGTGTGAAGATGACGGAACATAAATCATAATTTCTCCCACAGTCATCTTTCTCATTTCTCTAAAAGAATAGAACAGAACAGAATAGTTGGAAGAGACCTTGGAGGTCTTCTAGTCTAGTCCCCCGCCTAGGCAAGAAACCCTGCACTACTTCAGACAATGGATGTCCAATCTCTTTTTAAAAACTTCCAGTGTTGGAGCATTCACAACTTCTGGAGGCAAGTTGTTCCACGGATTAATTGTTCTCAATTAATTTCTCCTTAATTCCAGGTTGCTTCTCTCCTTGATTCGTTTCCATCCATTGCTTCTTGTCCTGCCTTCAGGTGCTTTGGAGAATAGCTTGACTCCCTCTTCTTTGGGGCAGCCCCTGAGATATCAGAACTCTGCTATCATGTCTCCCCTAATCCTTCTTTTCATCAGACTAGACATACCCAGTTCCAGCAACCGTTCTTTGTATATTTTATGATATGCTCTTACACAAAACAGATTGGAGAAAATTATAGAAGGTTAAGGTAAAATTTGGATGAAATGTTCCGTTTGTGTTATCCACTAGATGATTAAAATTAGGCTCCGTTCCCTGTTCTACATAGTCATACCAAATTTTAAGAAGAAAATGTAATTATTGGAAGTACTTGGAGCTTTCTTTTGTAGCTATTGTAAATATATAAAAAGAAGAAGGAAGGACATATCCTATACTAGAAAAATAATAATCTGACTATAATACAATTTCTTGTAAAGGCTGATTTTGAACTTAAGCCATGTTATGTAAAATTCAGCTGAATTTTAACTGAAAAACAGTGCGTTCAATCTGAACAAGCAAAAAAGGGGCATTATTGAATATTTGGGACAGAAACACAGTAAATGTGACATGGAGTTGGCATAACTGTGCAATTCTTTGTCTTGTGAAACTATTCAGCAATAGCAAGCTGAGGATGAAATAATACACTGAAAATATTAGAAAATAAGGGCATTATATAGCCTTCTTATATAACCATGACCTAAAATAGTTTCTTTGAGCTTGAAACATTCAAGAATTATTGGACAACTTCCATTACCTCATACCAACATGGGTATTGAATGATGGCCAATGTAGCTCAATGCATTTCAGAAAAAGGACCTACAATATTAAAAAAAAGTTCATTCCCAGGACTTGATGCAGGTCAACCCAAATAGGAAGTTTGAGAAAGGAATTGGCGAAGTAATTCGGAATCTTCTTGGATGTATAATTGAGAGTTTCTGAGCCAATCACACTATGCCTTGTAGATAACACTTTAATCTTCTAGATAGTCTTAGATCAGGTATATTCAACAGAATAACAAAAGAACAAAGGTGAAAGGGACCTTGGAGCTCAAGCAGGAAACTGGATACATTTCAAACAGATGGTTGTCAAATCTCTTCTTAAGTGATGGAGGCAAGCCATTCCACTGATTAATTGTTCTAATTATCAGAAAGTTTCTCCTTAGTTCTAGGTTGGTTCATACCCTATAAGTTTCCACCCATTGCTTCTTGTCCTGCTTTGGGGAATAGGTTTCTTCTTTGTGGCAGCCCCTTAGATATTGGAAGACTGTTATCATGTCACCCCTAGTCCTTCTTTTCATTAAACCAATAAAATACCTAATCCCTGTAACCATTCTTCATATGTTTTAGCTTCCAGTCACCTAATCATCTTTGTTGCTGGCTGGGGAATTCTGGGAGTTAAAGTCCCAGAAGTGTTAAAGTTGCCAAGGTTGGACACCGCTCTCTTAGACTAAATAATGTATTTCTGAGAAATCCTTCTTCCTTTGTACTTCTGAATTTACCTACTTGCCTGATACCTCTTCGTGTGTTCCATATCATTCTCAAGTTTTGGACCTGAGCACCTGATGCTGGTTTGCTTATGGTTTTCATCCCAAAACACAGTCATTTGGGGGAAACTTTCTATTGCTTATTCCATTGATATTTGCAGTACCTCGAAGACCATTTTAATAAAGGGTTTGTGTCAAAGGTGAAAATGAGCTACAGAAAATTGCTTGTGAGCGCATTTTCGCATAGAACAGGAGTTCAAAGAGTTTGAATTGCTTAAGATGCGAGACTGGAAGATTTTTCATGTATAGAATCAAAATTTCCAGATTTTCACTCTTCTGTTCCAGATTCACAGAATGCCTGGAGTTTTCCTTTTTGAGAAACTTGAAAGGCCTCTTTACCATTTGTTTAATTCATACAACAGTTTCAAATTACACGCAGAGGTAATTTGTGCAAGATATTAATTTATTTGTGTAAAGAATGAATAAACGTTCTCATAGTTCCGTATTACCGTATTTTTCACAATATAAGACACACTTCCCCCACGCACACCAAAAAATGGGTAGAAATGACTGTGCATCTTATACAGCAAATACGGGCCCGTTTTTGGCCTCCCAAACACTCCGCGCATCCTGTTTTTGCCCTTCCCGGCATTCAGAAGCACTCTGCAGGCCAAAAATGGGCCCTTTTTTGGCCTCTGGAGGCCTCTGGGGGTCCCGTTTTTGCCCTCCTTGGCTAGTGGTGAGATTCATTTTTTTTTTACTACCGGTTCTGTGGACGTGACTTGGTGGGCGATCATGGCTTGGTGGGCGTGGTGTGGCTTGGTGGGCATTGCAGGGGAAGAATACTATAAAATCTCCATTCCCACCCCACTCCTGGGGGAAGGATACTGCAAAATCCCCATTCCCTCCCCACCCCGCTAACCTGCTTTCCAGCTCCATTCTCCTGTGCAGGGCAACCAAAGAAGACCCAGCTGATCAGCTGGGACTTGGGAGGCAGAGAATAGATGAGGGTGAGACCAGTCAGAGGTGGGATTTGCCGGTTCTCCAAACTACTCAAAATTTCCGCTACCGGTTCTTCAGAACTGGTCAGAACCTGCTGAATACCCCCTCTGTCCTTGGCGTCCAGAAGCACTCTGCAGGCCAAAAATGGGATCCATGGAGGCCTCCGGAGGCCAAAAACCAGTGCATTTTTGGCCTGCAGAGTGCTTCTGGATGCCGGGGAGGACAAAAACAGGAAGCACAGAGGCAAAAAAACTACTTTTTTCTTGTTTTCCTCCTCTAAACCAATGTGCGTCTTATAGTCCGAAAAATGCAGTAGTCTACTTTTTGGGGGTTGTTAACTTCCAAATTCTTGACATAAATTGGTATGAAATTCTTTGGTTGGCTTCCAAAATGTTATATAAAATAAGTGAAATATATATATATATTTTACCATACAAGTCATAAATGGGATGGCATGGAATAGTTTATTTTTGCACCTGTATACATGTGTAGACATAGCTACACATCTAATGTATTTGGGAATATTTTTATTATTTGTTATGTCATCTATCAAATAAATTCTGCGGACTATTAACCAACTTATAAATTAGTAAACTGATAAGATAAAATGAAAACAATATAGCTTTGAATGGAAGGGAATGTACGTAGTGCCGTTTTGAACTGCATAGTTCTTGGTGCTGTTTGAGTTTTGCTGGCTGCTGATGTTACCTAGTTAGGTAATGAAACATCTGTAAGCAAATAACCAAATTCAGAACTCCACAATATAACTTTAAAAAAGATTTGAGAAGAGAAAAAGGCTTCTATGGAGGTTGAGAGATTTGTATCACAGGCATTGCCAGGGAACATTTTTCTTCCAGGTTTCCATTTCCTTCATTTCATTGCTTTGAAAAGAGCCTCTTACAAAGATTGTTTTAAATTCTGCAGGTATACGCTGACGGTTCCATTGAGGACAACGTTTTGATTTTAATTTAGAAATGCATGTCTGTTAATCTTTCTAAACCCTTATATGTCTTTCAGAAGCAGGAATTGATATTCTAATTCCTCACAGACTCTTTAGTGCAGACCTGGGCATTTTACAGCCCCCGGGCCTTATTCACACTTTGGCTGTCCCTGTCTGGCTTCCATGAGATCAATTGGAAATTAGAAATCAAATGTACATTAAGTGTACACCAAGCACACAATACAATGCATTGCTTTTATTTTGAAGGCAATGGGGTTCCCCCCACCTTACATATATGTGGGGGGGCAGTGGGGGGATTCAAACATTTTTACTACCGGTTATGTGGGCGTGGCTTGGTACGCGTATCAGGGGAAGGATACTGCAAAATCTCCATTCCCTCCCCAACCCACTAACCTGCTTTCCAGCTCCGTTCTCCTGTGCAGGGCAACCTAAGAAGACCCAGCCAATCAGCTGGGATTTGAGAGGCAGAGAATAGATGGGGCGGGGCCGGTCAGAGGTGATATTTGCTGATTCTCTGAACTACTCAAAATTTCAACTACTGACTCTCTAGAACTGGTCAGAACCTGTTGAATACCATCTCTGGTGTGGGCCTATGCATCTTCACAGGCCTATTGGTTTGGTCCTCTACAACAGTCCCAATACCTCATGTGGCCTCTTAGTTGCCCACCCCGGTTTAGTGGACAAGTCTTAGAAGGAAGAGAAAGTAACAATATCAACCACAGTCATCAACAGTTCGAGGCCATGGTGGAGGACCAGTCAGGATTTAGATCTTGTGCTTCTGTTGCCATTTCCAGATTGCCATTGTATTACTTCTGGCAGTCATACAACCTGGGGTACACAAGCATCTGCAAAGTTTTTGGTATGCAAACTAGTACAAAAATATCTCTTCCTACTTATGCCTCGTCCTGTTCTCCTTCAATGAGGAGTTAAAATTCAGCTTTCTTGTTAGTGTCTGGTGTTCGATAGGTTTTTTCTCTCTCTCTCTTTAGTTTGTATTTTAACTTTGGAAATGAACAAAAGAATTTGTAAACAAAAAGCTTTCTTACTATAAGAACTTTCCAAACTATAATTGATTGGTTAATGCAATAGACAAACATTTTAAATTGCAATTTCAGTGTTTGGGTTTCTTTTTAGTATCTTCGTGATAAATACTTCTATCATGACAAAATCATTCAAGAACTAGAGTTTGTATATTTTCAAACTCTCTATATTTTTCAAACTCTTGTAGTTTTTTATTTTACCTCATCCATTAAAATGTGCATCATGTTGGCTGTATAAGGTAAATTTAATGTACATTTTTCCTCAAGATTCTTAATTAATGTAATTGGAATAGAATAACATGAATATTTCTGGAAATTACAACTGCATTAGAATTTCACTGTATTTGTGAGAGTTGGAAGGTGATGCTTAACTTTGGAATGCGGCAAGAGTAATCTATCTATATACTACTAAACTCTCATTGTCATGACCCATAACTGGGAGAAATGGTGCATCATAGGTCAACAGTTTTTGAATCAAGATACCTAAAGTGGGTTTACAGAATATGTTCAAAATCCAGGACCCATGATTCCAAGGGAACAACGTTGGGGAAGTTGTGGGTGATTCAGTGCTATTAGCTGGGGGGCCACTGCTGTGATCATGTGATTTTTATTTTCAACATTCCATGACAGTTTCCAAGCCAGTCATGCAATCCCTCGTTCCTTCTCCAATCCAGCATATTTACCTGCCTGCTGGAAAGGGGAGAGAAAGAGATTTCTGATGCTCCCTGCCAGATTCCCACAAGAAACTCACTGGGGAAGCCAGCGGGAAACCGGAAGTCACTCCTGCTCCCCCTATTTTTTTTTATCACTCATGTTCATTCTGTTTCTCTGTTTAGATACAGAAATACCTCTGAAAGGTATCAATAGGGGGCAGACGGTCTGGTTATGTTTAAAACTGCAGTCTTTACAATTTAATTTTACAATTTAATTTCATTCTCCGAAGTGGCGAGCAGTGAGTTCACTGTTTTCCTGCTACCTCTTCCTCTGCAGAACAAAGAATACAAATCTCTCAGCGAGCAGCTCTCCACAGCAGCCTCTGCTCATTGCACAGAGATTGAAAAGCTGAAGAAGGAACTGGAACGCCATCAGCAGAAGAAGGGAGACAGGAATCAGCTCGTGAGCTTGCAGGAAGAAATTGATTCTCTCCGGCTGGCCCTGGAGAAGGCTCACGGGGAGCGGAAGATTGTCGAAGATACATATGCCAAGGAGAAACAGGTGCTCCAAAAGGTAACTACTCTGCAAGGAGTTGCAAGCCTATTGTATCACAATGACTGTGGGCATGACAGGACCAAATCATGGTTTATTTAACCATAATTTATGGGGGTGTGTGTGTGTGGTGGAATCAACATTCACTTGGATGCCAAACAAGCTAAGTCATAAACTGGGGTTTAAACACCAACAACTAAATTAAACCCACCTCACAATGGCTTTGCTTCATGTGTGCACCTAGTGTGCAAAATCACCTTGAAGCAAGATGGGCAGCAAATACATTTAATAAATAGCTATAGCACTTAGACTTATATACTGCTTCACAGTGCTTTACAGCCCTCTCTAAGCGGTTTACAGAGTCAGACTATTGACCCCCAACAATCTGGGTCCTCATTTTACCCACCACAGAAGGATGGAAGGCTGAGTCAACCTTGAGCCTGGTGGGATTCAAACTGCCAAAATTGCAGGCAGCCGGCAGGCAGCAGAAGTAGCCTGCAGTACTGCATTCTGACCACTGCACCACCACAGCAGCTAAATAAATAATGTCAGCATTCAGATGTTTTCAAGTCCTTTTGCATGGAAGGTCCTTCTCAAAAGGCACCTATTACTTTCTGATTATTGTGCTTGGTTTGTATCATTAGTAAGGCCTTTCCTAAGGATAGTAAGATTGGTGTGTGTATTTCAGAGTTGATCCATTCAGTTGAATTTTCCCATAGACCGTCTTTCATAACTATCAAAAATGGGTACATGAACTCACCTGTTCAAGGTTCACAAAGGTTCATTATATCTTGATTGTTTTTGTAATAATTTTTATTGTTCTTTTCCACCTTTTACTTTAACAGTACTGTGTCATCATTATACAAATTATTAAACACACCAATATCATGTAAATATCTACATTTATACATCTTTATATACATTCATATACTTTTATCTGTGATTTTCTTATTTCCTTTATCTTTAGTTCTATTGTTCAACCACTTATACCAATTATCCCAAATTTTGTAATACTTCGACTCTTCTTTCTCTTTTAGTTTTAATGTCAATTTATCCATTACAGCACAATCTAGAATTTTTTTTTTTTTGGAAGGAAAGAAGGGCAGTTACTCTGATCCAGATTTTATTTTACAACTTTCCATTATGCAGACTTTTGTTCTCTACCAGCAATAGAATATATACTATCTTGCATGAACTATTTACCCCAAAAGACTAATAATAGTAGACAGCAACTGACAGTGCCATTTGTATGGCAAGGCATTTAATGTTGATGGATCCTCAACATTTCACTGTAGAAGTCAGCTGTAGTAGAGTCTTTTATATCCTTATGTTAATTATTTAATTTATTGCATATACATTCAGCCCCTAAGATTCTGTTAGTTTATACCAATTGGTATATTCACTTGAATATAAAGGTAGTCCTTGACTTATGACCATAATGGAGCCCAAAATCTCTGTTGTTAAGTGAGATATTTGTTAAGTGAATTTTGCCCCATTTTACAACCTTTCTAGCCACAGTTGTTAAGCAAATTAATGCAGTTGATAAGTTAGAACCTGGTTGTTAAGTCAATCTGGTTTCCCCATTGACTTTGCTTGTCAATAGGTCGCAAAAGGGGATCATGTGACCCTGGGACGCTGCAATGGTCATAAATATGAACCAGTTGCCAAGCATCTGAATTATGATCACATGATTATAGGGATAACTGTGAAAAATGGTCATAAGTCACATTTTCCACTGCCATTGTAACTTTGAACGTTCACTAAAAAAACTGTTGTAAGTTGAGGAATATTCATACAGCCATAACACAGTAGACTATTCAAAATGTATTAAAAATAATATCTGTCAGTCAACTCAAAAAAAAAAATCAAGTGGCAATTCAATCATCATAACATCATGCAACAGTTTTCAGAATCAAGCTTCAAACACCCATTGAAACATGTTAGAATTTGCAGCAATCCAACCAGCCCACAAGTAAATAATTCAGCAGGATTCATTTATAGAAGAAACTTGTTTATATACAATAATATACAATATGATGCATGTATACAATACCCATGCAGCAGAAGTCAGAACCAGAAGAATCCAGAAGTCATAATCACAGAAGCAATATCCAATGACAAAATCAATACAGTCACATAAGTAAGAAGAATTTCTTTAATACCTCCAACTTTGTTCCCAATGTCCAGTTACCTTTGGCTGGAGAAAGAACTCTCCCAAGAACAGTCTTTAAGTGAAGGAAATTCAGTCCGAAAACAAAGTACATATGAACTGTAAATAAAAATCCACACAAACCACGCTGCAGCAATTAACTAGACAGGGCAGGATAAGGAATTGCAGATTTCAAAGGCCAACAAAACACACACAGTTGGGAAGATGCTAGGAACCCAGATAAGCCTCGACAAAACAAGACAATCAATACACAATTTGTTTCCAACAAGTTGCTGTACGCAAACTCCCTTTTCAAACACTGTTCCCAGCTGCAGCTAATGAAGGGAATCAGGGCCCTTTCCTCCCCTGTAAGCCATGCAACTCATGTTGCTCCCTTCTCCATTCCTCCCTGCATGCCCTAGGATGAAGAGGGGGTGGGCCTGGATCTTCCTCTGAATTCCCTCTCCCTTGCTCTACCTCTCCCCTGCTCTGCTCAGCCGGACTGTGCCCTTCCCCAGTTTCTTCCACAGCCAATGGAGCCACACTCCCACTCCCTGTCAGCTGTTTGGCCTCACCCTCAGAATCAGATTCCAACAGGGGCATGACACAATATAAACACAGAAGGCAATATGTTAGAGAGGCAGTCAGATAGATAGATAGATAGATAGATAGATAGATAGATAGATAGATAGATAGATAGATAGATAGATAGATAGATAGATCAGTGAACCTAAGCCACACCCAGGCTTCGAGCTGCCTGCGTCACCAAACATTACTCATTGGCTGACCTGTTACCATGTCTGTTCCAATTTATGAACCGTATACATCGACAAAACAGCATACAGGTAGTGCTTGACTTATGGCCACAACTGGGATCAAAATATCCATGGCTAAGCAACGCAGTTGTTAAGTGAGTTGCAGCCGATTTTATGGCTTTTAGACATTTGCTGCAATTGTTAAGTGAGTCATGCGGTCATTAAACAAATCTGGCTTTCACAGTTGACTTTGCTTGTCAGAAAACTGCTGGGAAGATCACAAATGGTGATCACAGGACAGTGCAACCGTTATAAATGCATGCCTGTTGCCAAGCACCCGAATTTTGATCATGTGGGGATGCTGCAATGGTCATAAGTGCAAGGATCGATTGTAAGTCACCTTTCCCAATGCCGGTGTGACTTCGAACAGTCACTAAACAAATGGTTGTAAGCCGAGGACCACTTGTATTTATGCTACGGTGGTCCAAGCCATCTTGAATATTACATGCAACTTTCAATTTGCAGCAATGCCAACGACAAATGTCATAGCACACCAAGGGTAAAATTAATAGACTGAGATGTTGAAGATTAAGGACGTTATTTTATTTTTAAACAGTTTTTAAGGACCAATAAAGGAGAATGTTTGTAGCTCAGGGTTGAAATGAGAGGTCCTTGATGCTCTCTGAGCGTGGTTGTTTTCTTGAAGATGTTTCATTATCTTAACTAGGTAACATCATCAGGACTAGCACTGATAATACTACCTAGTTAGGGTAATGAAATGTCTGCCAGAAAACAACCACGCTCAGAGAGCACCAAGGACCCCTCAATTTTTAAGGAGTTCATTAAGTTGAGCTCAGCTTCTGCTTGTTTGACATACAAGTATGTCATTTTTTTCTGCAAATTTAAAGTCGGTTTACCATTATCATCTTCAGGGATTTTTTTTTAAACAATTCCTCAATTTAGGCTTGAATGGAATTTCTTGGTGGTCTCCCATCCTGGCATCTAACAACTTTGATGTTGTTTCAAGTGTTTACCAGATCCCATCTTGTTTTTGAGATCAGCCAAGGTCATCAAGGTGGTGCTATCTAGCTGGGCACCGGCATTAAAAAGCTACTCTAATTTTGTTGCTTTCTGGGGAATTTTCTTTCGCCTTTCCCTTCTGTTTTTTTTTTTTAGCATATTGAGTAATTCATTACAAAGCAGCATGAACCTGTTTGGTTCTGAAAGTTTCTTCCCACTGCTTCCTCCTTTCCATTTCTGCTGGCTTTTAACGTCATGTGCAATTACTGATCAAATGCCTCTGCAGAGTTTTCCTGCTGAGAAAAGTGAGGGAAAAATGTATGAACATACATTAAAAATTAGACAACTGTTCAGATGTGCCATAGATTGCTACTTCTACAAGAACAACAAAACCTTCATGGTACAGAAGCACAAAAGCCTTCTTTGGATCATTGCTCAAAACCCTCATACAATCTGAGTAGCCGTTTCCCCAAATTAAACGTTCTCTTCGGCGAGCTGCAGTTTTGTTATGCACAATAAAATTTGGACTGTCCGGCTGTGGTCCTGTGCATCCCCATAATATGGCTTGCACTAAAATGATTTGTCCAAAGCCATGTAAGCCAGTCAAATTATAGTGGGCAGAAACCACTTAGGGGTCCTTGGTGTTCTCTGAGCTTGCTTCTTTGCCAGCAGACGTTTCGTTACCCTAACTAGGCAGCATTATCAGTGCTAGTCCTGATGATGTTACTTAGTTAGGGTAATGAAACGTCTGCCAGAAAACAAGCAAGCTCAAGAGAGCACCAAGGACCTCTCATTTCAGCCCTGAGCTATAAATATTCTCCTTTGTTAGAAACCCCTTAGCTTTTTGGGGTATGCTAATTTGTTATTTGGAGAGAAGGTTCGGTGCAGTGGTTAAGGAAGCAGGTTAGAAACCAGGAAACCATAAATTCTAGTCCTTCCTTGGAACATGAAGTCAGCTGGGTGACTTTGGGCCAGCCTCACCCTCTCACCCACAGGAAGAAGGTGAATGCCAAACCAGTTCTGAAAAGCTTGCCAAAAAAATTGCAAAGACTTATCCAGGCAGTTGCTACGAGTCCACATTGACGCAAAGGCACACAAACACAAGATTATTCCTTTAATTGGTTTGATGAATGCAGGTAGTCCAAAATTTCCATTGCTAAGCAAGACAGTTAGAAAGCTTTCTTCCATTTTATACCCTTTCTTGCTGCTGTTTTTAGGCGAATCACTGCAATTGTCAACCCAGTTGTTAAACGAATGTGGCTTTCCCATTCTTGTTCAATTGTCAGAAGGCTGCCAAAGGAGAGCGTATGATCCCAGGTCACTGCAGCTGTCATAAATACAAGTCAGTTGCCAAATTGTCCAAGAAGCATCTTCAGCTCTTGATTCTCTCAATGACTCTCTAAAAGAATGCAAATGACCAGCTCTCTTCAAGAATATTTTTTTTTTCCTTTCCCCACTATCCAGTCAGAGCTAAAAACACTTCTTGGATGAGAAGCAAAACCTCTTCAAAAAAAAAAAGTCCAGTTGCCTCTTGAGAAAGTATCTTTGGAATAAAATCTGTGTCGATTTTGCTTCCTGGGTAACCTGATTTGTGTGGCTTGAAAAGAATCTTTAAAAACTTGCTTGAGATTGATGGGTGATTTATTTATTGCATTGTATTATGGGCCACCCACTTTTCCAAAAACAAGCCAACATTCTCTAAAACCAGAAGCAATCAATAAGTGGGTAGTATTGGGCAACCAACATCATCTTTCTCATAGCCTGATCACAAGTACAAGTGTTTAATACTTGTGTGCCAGTATCATAACATTTCACCTGACTAGCAGATATCCTATTTTAGCAGGGGTCTAAAATACCCATGAGAAGGCAATCAGTCATTAACCCTTCTGAGCCCATCTCCAGACCAGTTTACAGGTAGGTTATTATGATACTCCAATCAAGGTTGTTGTTAGTTGCGAAGCCATGTCTGACCCATCGCGACCCCATGGACAACAGTCCTCTAGGCTTTCCTCCCCTTTACCATCTTCTGGAGTCCATTTAAGCTCACACCAACTGCTTCAGTGACTCCATCCATCCACCTCATTCTCTGTCATCCCCTTCTTCTCCTTTTGCCCTCAATCTTTCCCAGCATTAGGCTCTTCTCCAGGGAGTCCTTCCTTCTCATGAGGTGGCCAAAGTCTTTGAGTTTCCTCTTCAGAATCTGGCTTTCTAAAGAGCAGTCTCCTCTGGGACTGACCGGTTGGATCGCCTTGCAGTCCAAGGGGCTCTCAGGAGTCTTTTCCAGCCCCATATGCCCAACTAACAGAATAATAGAGTTAGATAGAATAGATAGAGATAGAATTCTTTATTGGCCAAATATGATTGGACACACGAGGAATTTGTCTTGGTGTAAGTGCTCTCAGTGTACATAAAAGAAAAGATACATTTGTCAAGAGTCAAGAATCATAAGGTGCAACAGTTAATAATAGTCATAGGGCACAATAAGCAATCAAATCATACTTGGAAACAGTCAATATAAATCATAAGGATCCAAGTGACACAGAATCATATAGTCACAAGTGGGAGGGGATGGATGATAAGGAGTGATGAGAAGATTAACAGTAATAGCAGTGCAGACTTTGTAAATAGTTGGACACTGTTGAGGGAATTATTTGTTTAGCAGAGTGATGGCGTTCAGGAACAAACTGCCCTTGTGTCCAGTTGTTCTGGTATGCAGTGCTCTATAGCGTCATTTTGAGGAAAGGAGTTGAAACAGTTTTTGTCCGGGATGTGAGGGGTAAATATTTTCACAGCCCTCTTTTGGACTCATGCAGCATACAGGTCCTCAATTGAAGGCAGATTGGTAGTAATTGTTTTTTCTGCAGTCCTAATTATCCTCTGAAGTCTTTGTCTGTCCTATTGGGTTGCAGAACCAAACCAGACAGTTATAGAGGTGCAGAGGACAGATTCAACCATTCTTCTGTAGAACTGTATCAGCAGCTCCTTGGACAGTTTGAGCTTTCTGAGTTGGCGCAGAAAGAACATTCTTTGTTGTGCTATTTTGATGGCATTTTTGAGGTTAGGTGTCCATGTTAGAAGGGATCTTGGAGACATCTAGTCCAACCTCCTGCTGAAGTATGAAACCCTATACTATTTCAGACAAGTCTCTTCTTTAAAACTTCCAGTGTTGGAGCAACCCCATAAATATTGGAACATTGCCATCATGTCACCCTTAGTCCAGCATCTCACAACGAGCCTTGTTTGGTCTCCCGAATGGCTTAACATACGAACTTTTTCTGGTTGGCGGAGAGACTTGAAATAATTGTGAGGGAAAGATAATCCTCAAAGATGATAAATTTTTCATGCTCTACGAGACTTGTTTTGCATCATGGATGGTTGGCTTCATAGAGAAGAAGGTAGGGCTGATTCTCAAAAAGTTTGTAATCCTAAGCAGCAATTATCCCCGAGAAGGAAGAAGAATAGGGAGGGCATTTGAAGAGAGAAGATTTGAAGGTAGGTGGGCTTTTGAGTTGCACAGAAATCTTCATTAAGTGTGCCTGGTGTTTATGATGGCTTTTGGTTTGAATGTATGCTTCATTAGGCTTTTCACGGCCTTTTAAAAATTAATTGCATTTCTCTTACTAGCTTTCATTTTTTCCCCCTTCTTGACTGCCCATTTTGAGTGAAAATGCGAGATGAATAGCTCATCTGATAAAATATAATGGATTCATTCTTGTAGGTGATGGGGTGTGTTAATAGACTGTTTATCAATGTAACAATTTTAAATCTTCCTGACATAAGTAAATTTTTCCCCTCATTGACTCATTTGGCAAGGAAAACTTGAAATTTATGGTTACAGTTATGTTGTATGAACAGAGCAAAAGTGTGTTATATTGTATACAAGAAAAAAAAAAGATTTTTAAACAGAAACTTTAAACCTTATCACGACACAGAATGCTGCTCTAAAGTTGCCATCATGTTGTTTTAGAATGTACAGGTTAGCTGATCTTTACGAAAATCGATCCACAACTGTTGACCTTTTCATTAATAGTTGTGGATAGATTTTCCCAAAGACCAGCTAATCTCTCCCCTGTAACTCTAGGACAATAAACTATTTATCTAGCTAATGTACTTCCTGTCCTAATTCTAGGACAATGAAGGCCATGATCCCTTGGAATATAACTAGAAAATCTCACTATCTCAAGCATAGGTATAAATACAGAACAGAACAGAATAGAATAAAGCTGGAAGCGACCTTGGAGGTCTTCTAGTCCAACCCCCTGTTCAGGCAGGAAACCCTATACTATTGCAGACAAATCATTGTCTAATCTCTTCTTAAAAACTTCCAGTGTTGGTGCATTAACAACTTCTGGAGGCAGGTTGCTCCACTGATTAAATGTTCTGTCAGGAAATTTCTCCTTAGTTCTAGGTTGCTTCTCTCCTTGATTAGTTTCCACCCATTGCTTCTTGTCCTACCTGCAGGTGCTTTGGAGAATAGCTTGGCTCCCTCTTCTTTGTGGCAGCCCCTGAGATATTGGAAGACTGCTATCCTGTCTCCCCTAGTCCTTCTTTTCAGTAAACTAAATACCCAATTCCAGCAACTGTTCTTTATATGTTTTAGTCTCCAGTCCCCTAGTCATCTTTAATCCTGGACTTATGTCCACAACTGAGCCCAAAATTTCTGTTGCTAAGCGAAACATTTGTTAAGTGAATTTTGCCCCCATTTTATGACCTTTCTTGCCACCGTTATTAAGTGAATCCCTGCAGTTGCTAAGTTAGTAAAGTAATTGTTAAGTGAATCTGGCTTCCCCATTGACTTTGCTTGTCCAAAGGTGGACGGTCATAAGTGTGAAAACATTCATAAGTCACTTTTTTTCAGTGCCGTCGTAACTTTGAACAGTCTCTCAAAGAACGCTTATAATTCTTGTTCATATCGTAGTAACACCTGCACTATCAATATTTGCTAACTTTATGTTGCGTACCTCTTTAACGTGCCACTGAAAACAATCGACTGGCATACGCTTAGAGCAGCGCTATCATTGTTTTAATAAAGGAAGGAGGAACAAACCGGTTTTGCTATAAAAGTCAGCCAAGCTTCTGAACATACAAAATCGGTCTGCGGCATTCAGTGACCTCCAATTGGACAAAAGTGTGGACGTTAACCTGGTTTCCTTGTATTTTCCTCAGAGGATATCCGACTTGGAAGAAGAGAATGTCCTTCTGAAGGAAGAAAAAGAGGCACTGAACAACAAGATATTGGGTCAGTCAGAAGGTAGGCGGAAGTAGCAGGTGGCTTTATTCATATTGATAGCTAAATGAAAGGGTTTGTATTTTTTTTTTCAATATGTGTTTATGAGTCTTTTCTCATCGGCTCCACTGTAAATAATAATCATTGTGGTAAATTTCAAACAGGTTGCCTTTTTCTGCGTCTGAGACATATTGATTAAAATTTCTCCGGTGAAGGTGGATGGTTGTAACTATAAACTGATTTAATCACTGGAGTCCTGCGGAGGGGAGGGAATTGCATGGAATGAAACATCCTATGCTAAACACATCCTTTGTCTTGAAACTGCCTTGAAAAGTCAGCAGACGATTTAAAATCAGCCGTGTTCAAACCAAAATCCATTCGGTGTATTCAGGAAATGCGGGAGCAGCGCGACAGAAAATCTGTTTAACATAAAAGCGAGTTAAACGTTAACAAAGTCAAAGAGAGGAAAAATAAAAAAAAACGAAAACAAGATGGAAATGTAAGCATTTGGTGTTTCTTTATTGAAGCGTTGTAGTCTGAAAATTGGCTAAAAGAAATGCATTTTCAGTGGCCTCATTTAGACATCAATTGACTCAACTGACCAAATCAATATTAGTTGAACTTTAGAGTTAATTTGTATGTTGTAGGCAGAGCGAGGATATGGAAGTATTCCTTTCTACTTTAGAGGAAATTCATGCAATGCGAAAGTCAATAATACTTGAAGAAAGAATTACTTCCTTTTTTAAATGAAGTAATTGAAAAACAACCCCATTTTAAAAAAGTGTACCTGATTAACTGGCCTTCTAAAAGTCTTTGTGGGACTGTAAAAAAAAATTGTTCTGATTATAGGTTCCTGCTCTGTTCGTGAAGAGGCTCTGAACCATATACATTTATCAAATTTATAGGACACCCATTTCACCAATAAAGTAACTCTCAGTGGCCTATAAATGTTCTAAACCAGCAGTCCCCAACTTTCTTAGCTTGGCGGCCTGGCCCAGCACAGGAATGTGTGTGAGTGGCAGGAGCATATGCGCATGCACATCTTCATTTGTGTGAGCGGCAGGCACGCACGCCCTCTGCTTACATGAATGGAGCTTTGCGCTTGAGCAGAGGGTGCGTGCGCCCATGTGCAAAGCTCCACTCGCACAAGCGGAGGGCGCTCATGCTTGTGTGAGAAGCTCCGTTTGTGCAAATGGAGTTTTGCGTGGGAGTGCAAGCATCCTCCGCTTGTGCGTGCAGAGCTTGGTACACGAGTGCAAGCACCCTCCACTCCCCAAGGTGGAGCTTCATGCGTGCAGACTCTTGATCCGCCATTTGAGCAAGTGGAGGTTCACGCGCATGCACTTGCCCATCTCTCCCTCCTCCTGGTTTTGAACACGCCTTGGCCCGGCGGTTGGGGACCCCGGTTACAAGTCATTTATGATGCTAGCAAAGTAGACCTAAGAATGTAAGCTGACAGGCGGTTCGTTTTAAAAGCACTAACCAGTTTGTTTCCATTCTGGACTGTGGTTATTTTATTAAGCGTATGGCATAGAACACCATGGAAAGGGGCAATACAGTTATATAGAAGGAGCACGTAATAATATGATACATATATGATGGGAAGGCGTAATCAATTTTGTAAGGTTTGAGCAGGGGTGTCAAACTCAAGGCCCCGGGTGCCGGATCCAGCCTGCAGGGTGCTTAGGTCTGGCCCGCGGGACTACTCTGAAAACAGTGGAGGACTGAGGCGCAGTGCTTCTGCCAGCGAAAACAGAGCATGCACCCCACCCCACCCCAGCTCCATTTTCGCTGGCAGAGAGTTCCAGGAGGCCGTCACAGCGGAAAATGGAGCTTAGGAGCCCATTTTCGCTGGCAGAGCTCTCGGGCCACCACAGGCACCTCCAACACGAGTGATGTCGAGCTGGCCACACCCACACTGCCCCCCCCCGAGGTCAAACACAACCCCGATGCAGCCCTCAATGAAATCGAGTTTCACCTCCCTGGGTTTGAGGAATTCATTGGACTGCAGTGAACATTACCAATAGACACGCTGTCAGGGTTCCAGAATGTGTCCGGTTTAATCAGTAACTCCGAGACAAACGCATGCTGTCCGGTTAAAAGCTAGATCCACAGGTTACTCTCCAGGTCAGAGAGGGTGATCCACTGTTTTTGGTGCCTTTCAAGATTCTTTCTTTTTTTTTTTTTATAAGATGAATTTGCCAAAAATGCAGTTGAAGAAAACCTGATGAAGAAGGAGCTTGATGAGGAGAGGGTCCGTTACCAGAATCTTGTCCAGGAATATTCACGGCTGGAGCAGAGATTTGAGAATCTGAGTGATGAGATGACTCTCATCAAGGTAATGGGAAAGTATTTTTACCTTAATGTCATAATGAGATGCCTATAGATAGTATGCTGACATTTTGGGTAAGCTCACTGTCAATTAGCAATAATATTTAGGCGTATATACTATCTTATAGGACACGGTAGCTCGGTGGCTAAGATGCTGAGCTTGTTGATCAGAAGGTCGGCAGTTCAGTGGTTCGAATCCCTAGTGCCATGTAATGGAGTGAGCTCCCGTTACTTGTCCCAGCTTCTGCCAACCTAGCAGTTTGAAAGCATGTAAAAATGCAAGTAGAAAAATAGGGACCACTTTGATGGGAAGGGAACAGCGTTCTGTGGGCCTTGGCCGTTCACAGTCATGCCGGCCGCTTGACCATAGAAATATCTTCAGGCAGCGCTGTCTCTTCAGCTTAGAAATGGAGATGAGCACCACCCCCTAGAGCCGGAAACAACTAGCATGCATGTGTGGAAGAATCTTTACCTTTGCTACCTTACAGTAGTTTATAGCACTCTGGGAGATTTGCAATTTAAGCATTATTTACATGTTGTCCCCAACCAGAGGTGGTATTCAACAGGTTCTGACCAGTTCTGGAGAACCAGTAATGGAAATTTTGTGTAGTTCTGAATTCCACCTCTGATTGGCCCCATCTCCATGTATTCTCTGCCTCCCGAGTCCCAGCTGATCGGCTGGGTCTTCTTTTGTTGCCCTGCACAGGAGAACAGAACTGGAAAGCAGGTTAGTAAGGTGGGGAGAGAATGGTGATTTTACAGTATCCTTCCCCTGCCACGCCACCAAGCCAAGCCATGCCCACAGAACTGGTAGTAAAAAAATTTTGAATCCCACTTCTCAACAAACTGGGTCCTCATTTTACCAACCAAGGATGGAGGCCTGAATCAACCTTGAGCTCCATCATAATCCAGGCTGTGGACAGAGTTTGTCTAAAATACTGTACTTTAATCTCTGCGTCATCAAGGCTCTGCTGATGTTGTAGATGTGGCCTGTTTGCAATTTTTAGGGCTAATGCTGATATTAGCTATAGTGATAGCCAGGTGTGCAGGAAAGATGTTCTGTTGCACTTTGGTTCAGTTGGATGGAACCTGATTCTGGTTGTATAAATGATTTTATAAGGACAACTTAAGCCAGTGGCAATTTAGGCTTTATATCAAGGGTCCTCAAACTTGGCAAGTTTAAGACTTGTGGACGTCAACTCCCAGAATTCCTGAGCTAACATGACTGGAGGGGGAATTCTGGGAGTTGAAGTCTACCAGTCTTAAAGCTGTCAAGTTTGAAGACCCCTGTTTTATATTGAGCTGTCTAACCTTGGAAACTTTAAAACTTGTGGACTTCAAAGCCCCCCAGAATTCTGGGAGTTGAAGTCCACAATCTTGACAAAGTTAGACACTCCTGCTTTTTACAATCTAACCCTAAAAGGTATGGACTGGCCAGTCAAAATGCTGCCTTCATCTTGCTTTGATTGGTTTGGCTAATCAAATGTTGCATTCATCTGCTGCACAAGACTTCTGGCCAACAGCTAGGACAGTTCCATCTGCCCTTGTGACAGCACAGTTGAATTCCAAGACCATACTTGGGCACCTTCTCATGGTGAGACATCACCATGGCACGCATGGCCCCTACCGTGATTTATATTTCTTCTTCACCTTTCCCTTTGGAGACCACCAAGTGCCTTAGCCAACATCTGGTGATCGATCACCTGTATGGATTCAGTAGCCAGATCAGCAGCTCCTTCTTCTCATCCATGTACTGTCTCCATACAAAAGTGTCAAGAAAATCCTTTGCCTCCAGTCTTATATTGGGTGCCAGTTTGACTTGACTTTTTTTTCTTCCTGCTTGGTGGTACTGAGGTAGCTTCATCCCTTTTAAACAATTCTTAGAGAGCTTTTTTCTGGGTAGATGCGTAGAAATTATCTGCCCAAGGTCTCTGCTTCCAAAGTTGGTGAAGAATTTTAAAAAGTCATTTGGTCTGAGTTTTAATTTAGATTTTAATTACACCCATGAGGAATGTGAGCAATGTGCAAACAAGAGGCTCCATGTCTTTATCCTCTGCTGTCTATAAATACATTTGAACCTTCTCCTGGATATAGTAAATTAAGCATCTTAATGCCTGACAGTCTGTTTATCACTTGGGACTTCCTTGGTCACAGTTACATCTGCTGTGATGCTTGGATGGTGATAGGAGGCCCGTGTGGAATAGAGGTGTCAACGTCTCCTCTAATGTGGGTTTTGTGCATCAGCCAAGTGACCTCACATCAGCCTAGTGTAATGTCAACACTGTTGTCTCCTAAAAAGAAATATAGAACTCCTGTCGTTGTGTCTAAGTAAAAACAGTCACGATCTCAAGAAAGATCAACTTGACAGCATTCTAAGCCGTTCGGAGAACCGGTTGTTAGAAGAAATTACTGTCCTAATCCTGTAAGGAAGGCAGGAAGGAAACATTCTGGTGTTGCTTACAGAAACTGCCTCTCTGTTAACCCTTATTACATTCTTGGCAGGACTAGACTTCCTGTCTCAGGAACTTCTCTGGAGTTTCTTTCCCCTCCTTTGCTGGTACTTTGCTTGTGTGGAGTCACCATTCAAAGTTACAATGGCACTGAAAAAAGTGACTTATGACCCTTTTCCCACTTACGACTGTTGCAGCATCCCCACAGTCATGTGAGGCCAGGCGAGGAGATGCATGCCTCAATGTGAATGATGTTGAGTTGGCCACGTCCACCCAGTCACATGACCACCAAGCCACACCCACCAACTAAGCCACACCCACAGAACTGGTTGTTAAAAAATTTGAATCCCACCCCTGATAATTGCCCAGTTGCAGCTTACGGTTTAGCCCTCGACTTAACGATCAAAATTGAGCCCAAAATTTCTGTTGCTGAATGAGATATGTGTTAAGTGAGTTTTGCCCCATTTTAGAACCTTTCTTGCCCCAGTTGTTAAGTGAATCGCTGCACTTGATAAGTTAGTAACCCTGTTGTATAATGAATCTGGAATCCCCACTGACTTTGCTTGTCAGAAGGGTGCAGAATGTGATCACGTGACCCTGAGACACTGCAACGGTCATAAGTATGAACCAGTTGCCAAGCACCTGAATTTTAGTCCTGTGGCCATGGGGATGCCACAAAGCTCATAGCTGAAGAATGGTCATGCCCCTTTTATCAGTGCCTCTGTAACTTTGAACGGTCAGTAAATGAACTATTTGGCAGCTGAATTTCAAAGCTTGGCACACAAATTTATGCATTCATCAAAGGCTTGTTTTCTTGTGTATCGTTTTGTTTTTTTAAATCAATCTTCGTTATAGTACTAATTGGCCTGTCTTAGTTCTAAGTCCATCTAACACAGTTTTGCCCTTTGGATAGCAAAGCCCAGGACACAGAAGAAACCCATCAAACCAGAGCAGCTTGGAATCGGATTCCAACTACCCATCCATTTCTACATCTGAGATAGGCGATACGGAGGATGCAATACAGCAGATAGAGGTACGGAAATAGAAATAAAACAGAAATTCTCCTGCAGAGGCAAAAGTAGATGTGGTTGCCATCCAAGTAATCTCTGGTGACCTCTTTATCTGTGCTGAACGACCCCCAGTTCTCACCCAACCTGGTGAAGATGGCGAGGTAAAGAACTCTAATTTAAACCCACTATGGCGATTTGAACGTGCCGTTCTTAAGCTATACGATTGAACAGAAGATAAAATCCTGGAGCAGCAAGCATTACAACCTCAGCTTTGCACTGAGAGAAATGGTCCTGGTTTTGTTTCTTTTTAATTAGCCAATTATGGAGGATTACTGTTTTAAATGAATGCTTTTCCTAGAGATTCAAAGCTGTGCATAGAGCACAATAAGCAATAATGTTTTTAGAAGAAAGGCCAGCATTTCCTAGGGATATATTTATATAGCTTTGCTTTCCAAAGAGTTATAAGTTCTTTTCTTGCAATGTTTGCACACAAGGCATTCAAGTGTCAAGTTCCAATATATCCTAGACCTTTTAAAAAGCTTCTACGGTTGAAGTTGCACACACGAAGCTAGTGTGTGAATTAAAATTACTTAAGAGTTCCTCCATGTTTCGGTTCTCTTGTCAAACCTGGCCTTGAAACTGTGAAATTCTGCCTTGCGTTGGTTAGAATCCCATTGCGACCCACTTAATTAATATGGCCACTCATCTCACATACAACACTGTTTTAAAATAGAATGAAAAGACAGCCAATAATTAAAAACATAAATAACACAAGACGGTGTAAGATAGCACCCAAGAATAATCACTTCAAAATCAATATAAACAGAAAGCAGGTTCAGCTGCACTATCAAGGCCCCAGGATTGATGGCAAAGCTAAGTTTTTAACGCCTTATGAAAGCTCAGCTGAACTGGGGCAAGTTGCTTGGGAAACAGTGAGCGGAAAGCTGGAGATTCCAAACTTTTAATACTTGTGGGCTTTAACTCCCAGAATTCCTCAGCCAGCCAAGTTTGGACCCCTGCATTAGATCTTTGGTTTTTCAACCTTGGCAACTGTGGTATAGATGTATGGACTTCAACTCCCAGAGTTCCCCAGCCTGCGTGGCTGGCTGGGGAGATCTGGGAGTTGAAGTCCACGCATCTTAAAAGTGGAGTATTGCACCAGATGGGACTCTCTTGCAGAAAGGACCTCCTGCCATATCTAAAGGAATGGGTTAACACCATGGAGGAGAGATGATCCTGAAAGTGACCTGGTCCCAAGCCACACATGACACATGAAACCTTTTCTTGCATACATACACAGAACTTTTCTTAAGGTCCTTTCACAACTTCGTTGTGTATGAGCCTCATTTAAATTTCCTTCTACACATAGGAGACCACAGTAATACCACAAGCAATAGCATTTAGACTTACATACCACTTTCACAGTGCTTTACAGCCCTCTCTAAGCAGTTTTACAGAGTCAGCCTACTGCCCACAATAATCTGGGTCCTCATTTTACCCACCTCGGAATGCTGGAAGGCTGAATCAACCTTGCATCCGGTGAGATTCAAACTGCTAAATTGCAGTCAGCCGGCAGTCAGCAGAAGTAGCCTGCAGTACTGCATTCTAACCACTGCGCCACCATGACTCACAGGAATTATAGAGGATACAAACAGGTCTGGGAAGCCTTCCCCCATATTGGAAATGTTGTCCTAGTCACCTATTACATTTGTTTGGAGCGTGGTGCATTTTGGACTCCCTGTTTAGCCAAAAAAAGTTGAAATATCTAGAGACACATAAACTGCCTCTTCAAAGATACCCAACCATTTTTTACTTCCAAGTCCCGTTTTGCAAAAGAAAACTGAACTGCATATTCTTTTTCAAATAAGTTCTGCTTATTTGTGGGTCGTTCTCAATGATTCTCAGTGGAGCAACACCTTCTCCAAGCTTCCAGAGAGCCAATGTCTTCTCCGTTGCTTTACCTTTCTTTCCTATTGTTAGCTATTCCTATATTCCTCCGTAGGAAGTGGGCTTGGAGAAGGCAGCCATGGACATGAGCCTCTTCCTAAAACTTCAGAAGAGAGTGCGGGAACTTGAACAGGAGAGAAGAAAGTTGAAGACTCAGCTGGAAAAGAAAGAGAATGAAAGCAAGAAACCCCAGGTAGAGCCAGAATTGATTTTGACTTACCATAGGCATGTCTGGAAAAAGAAATATTAAAATGTGTATTGTGGGCTTACGGATTGAACCACATGTTGTAGTGAAAGAAACCCCCGTCTTATATTTAACAATGCCTCTAAAAATTAAGGGAAATGAAACTTTGCTATGTTTTTACATTTCAACGTGTTCCCTCTAGTCCTGAACTCCATTCCAAGGTTGCCTGCTGTATGACTGGAAGGAGGGAGAGTTCATAATATCACCTGTAGTTATGATAGAAGGATAGCAGTTGGGGATAAGTACCCACAACAGCCGACATTTTAATTATTTATTTCCCTTAGCGAGGTTGTAAATATTAATAAAGATAGACCTTGACTTACAACCATTTGTTTAGCAATCATTGTTTAGCAATCATTAGCAAACTGTAATCACCAGTTACAGCCGTGGTAAAAAAAATTGACTTACAATTAGTTCTCACACTGATGGTCACGTGAGAAAAATTCTGGTGCTTGGTATTTATGACAGTTGCAGCATCCTGAGGTCATGTGATCACCATTTGTGACCTTCCCATGTGGCTTATGAAAAGCAAAGTCAACAGGGGAAGCCAGATTTGTTTAACAATCGTGTGATTCACTTAGCAACTAAAGCAGTTCACTTAATAACCATGCCCCCCCAAAATGTAAAATTTGGTTGAACTCACTTAAGAACCACCTTTAGCAAATTCTGGTCATAAGTCAAAGACTACCTATAAAGGAACCCTAGAAAGTGTCAATATGCTTTTGGAGGAGCAATGAGTTTTGCACCCCGATCCAAAAATGTTTTGAAAATCAAATTCCCAAATGATGAGAGACAATTGTTTAAGGATCCAATGTCAAGTGCTGGGGACATCAGGAGATTCAGGTAGTTCATTCAACTGAGTATAAAGATTTGTTGCAAGCTCTCTACAAGAATCTGGCCAACTAACAGTCGAGATATCAGTGGGAAATAAGAGCGGCATTCAAGGTGGAGTGGACTTAGATCTTGTGGGCACGCAGGAACTCATGATTTATGATGCATTTGACACCTCCCTCCGGCTGAGCCTGCTACATCAACAATTGCATTTCACTGGGTTTTTTTTTCAGATTCCCTTCTTACTTTATAACCTATCTTGCCTCTATGCTTCATTCCAAAGTAGCAATTGCTTTTCATGTCACTCCTATATTTGGATGATGTCAGGGAGATGGGCAGCTTCAGATTTTGATAAATAAAATTTGCCTTCGTTTGTGAGAAATAAATAAAACGATGAATTTGCAATCCCCATTGAGCCCAGAATAGAAAATGGATGCAGTGTAGATTACTGTTGAGCATAGAACAGAAATGGATATTAACGTTTGAGAAATCTTATAATTGAAAGTGGTCAAATATCCTAACCTGCTGTTTATTATTATTATTTTCTACAAAACGTTGGAGAACTGGCACTTTTAGAAAGAGTTTTGCCATCCCCTCAGATGGTTTCAGTAGACTGGTGCAATACTGCCTTTTGTAGCAACCAAGATTAAAAGTGCAGGGTACAAAATGAACTGAATCTAATGGTGCCATTCCGGTATACTTGGAACCGCCCCATTTAAGACTGTAAATGTAAGCTCCATACTGAAATATGTTAGCAACCTCAGCATCTCTCTCCCCTGAAGAGCTTTCTTTTCACCAAGCTTCTCTTCCAGAATATTATTGCAGGAGTTGAGAGGATGCTTGTTCTTTTTATAATATGGAGAGATCTTTTCTTCCCTGTTGCCCCATCCATAATATCTGCATCCTGAGATGCCTACACTTTAGATTTGTGAGTGTTGGTTAGAAATACATCCAGAATTATGACCGTGAGTTCTATTGCTGCGTCTTCTGGGCAGGAATGCACAGTCTCTATTGAAATGATTTATCTCGCTGTAGGGTTAATGAGCTTGGCCATGATTCCCTGGCTGTCATGAAATCCAAGTTATACCAATTGTATTTCCTGGCCATTGGGAAATTTAGATCTGACTCTTGCGTTGGCTCTTGATAGATTGAGGCCAGGTGATGAAAAAGGCAGCATCAAATTGAACGCCAGTACTTGCTCTGCTTCTTACAGTTAAATTTTGCAGTAGCTGGAGTTTTCAGATGCAGAATTTTATTAAGGGAAATATTCAGCTGTTCTTGCAAGAGCTATGTAAATAGGGGGTTATGTTCTTGTTCATTTCCAGCATGTTGGAGTTCTCTTAAAAAAGATTCCATGTCAAAGTTGGGTTGCATTTCTTGGCATCTTAATTTTTTTACATTCATGTCAGAAGCACCAAGGTACTTGCAGGTTGAAAGGATTAGCCGGTGACATCACCATTGCCTGGGAGACACCTGGTTGGGAGCACCTTTCATGCCCCTCTTAATGTGCCCAACTAGGTGATATGTCAGGGAATTGCATAGCAGCTGTCCGGATGATGTTGGAGACACTAACACAAACTTGTAGTCTTTTATATAAATATATTTAACATTTAAAGTTACAGCAGTCTTTGTCATCATCCAGAAAAGGAAGATAGTCAGGGACACAGGAAATCATGAGGTAAATTAATCAATCTACAGAACACCCAGAAGAAGAAGAAAAAGAGGGGGGGGGAGGAAAATTCCCCCTTTATACTTACAGCAACCAATCACAGCGTAGATTGCCTCATTCATGAGTCAGCACTCTCTAACTGTGAGTCCTGACTTATTGTACACTTTACTTTTCCAGCTAGTAAATTCAATATCCTAACATGGTACCCATCTCTCTACTTGCAGTTGCACAGTTTTGAACTGCTAGGTTGGCAGGAGCTGCAGCGAATGACAGGAACTCACCCCGTCACGCAGCAGTACTCGAACGCGGGCTTGTTGATCAGTAACCTAACTGTGAAAGATATTTGTATTATGTGAGCCCTGAGGCATATTTGTATTAGGACTTTTTCAAATGATACTACGCCAGTTTGATGTAGTGGTTAAGGCCTCAGGCTAGAAACTGGAAGACTTGTGAGTTCTAGTCCTGCCAAAGGCAGGAAGACGGCTGGGTGATTTGCTCATGTCCTCTTACAGTGTCCTTTTTATGATACCCCCAAATGTGATCTGATCTCCCCAACCAACTCCAAATAGGAAATGATCAGGGAGTCACTTTCTCTCAGCTCCAAGAAAGAGGCTGTGGCAAGCTACTTCTGAAAAACCTTACTTAGGGGCTTATTTCCCTGTGAATTGAGTGATAATGTAGAAGGTTGAGAGTAAGAAAATGCAAAAAGTGAGCTCACCAGGACTTTCCACCAGTCTACGAGGGCAGAAGAGAGAAGAATGGAGGAAACCTTGGGCTAGTCTACTTCAACAGAAGGAATAAGCAATGGAATTCAATAACAGCACATATTGTCTACCTTGCCACAGTTTTGATGACAACTCTGACAGCAGGAGGAAGTGGCTACAACTCCGTGGAAAAAGCCATCATTTTAAAGCAGAAGACTGCAGATTTAAGCTTCAGCCCTTAACAGAGTTAAGCTGTAGTTTCTCTCTAGAGAAAAGATGGAAAGAAGCTGTTGTGGTTCGCCGTCTGCCTGTGCAGACGGCAGCGGAATCGGACAGTGGGGAAGAATGGGGACCAGTCTGGGAGTCTGGGGAGGACTCAGACAAGGGTCCTGCATCGGATGCAGAGATGGGGCCAGGACCATCTGGGAATTGTGTGCTGACACCGAAGCCTCCAGAGTCTGGCAGCAGCGAGGCTGAGGAACAAGGGGATCCTGTTCCCAGTGCGCGTGTGCGCAGAGCTGCTTGAAGGCGAGAGCAGCTGAAACAAAAGGGGCGACTCAGGAGTAAGGCTGGGAGGCGATTGGCCCTCCCATAAGATATAAAGGAAGGGCAAAGGTAGAGAAACCTTTGCAGGAAGCAAAGTCGTTCGCTCTGTTTGGATTAAACCTTGAAGTGCTGTGTGGACTTTGTACTTCGGTTGGCTTTTTACAGTTAATTTGGCACTCTAATTGTTGGCAGCAATTGAAAGGAGATAAAAGTGGGTGCCCATCTCGAGAGATTGTTCGGGACTCATTAAGGGCTGGGAATGGACATAATTCCCAGCGATGAAATAAAACAAGAGTTGTTTGGACTAGGTGCGTGCTTAATGATGCTCTCAGGAACTCTTGGTCAGAACAGAAGCAGCCACCCCTTAGATTTTGTTAGGGTGATCGTCTATTGGCAGCAATAGCAAAGACCATGCAACTTTTCTAGTCCAAATGTATCAGGATTTCCAGTTCCAGGATTTGCAGGCAACACCACGGTTTGCAATCCCAAAGTGCAAGAAAGAGACAAGATAGGGGCAACTTAGAGAGTATTGGGCATAGCAGTTTCATAAGATGAAGTCCACTGGGCTCACCCCCTTTTCCTGCAATGGCCAGATAGTAAATTGGGGTTGACGGTTCTTGACAACCTGCATTTGCTTCTCCAGAATTGATATAACTTCTCTTGGGAATCAAGTAAACCAGAGCTTTGCCTCCCCTCAGAATGTCTGCTGACTCTTAATCGGTGCTGACAGGCTGAAAAAGAAAAAGTCCTTGTGTGCTTCCTTCCAGATTTCTTATCTCTCCGTGAAAGGCAAATGTCCTTTTTGCTACGTGTTATGGATGGTGGCAGTTCTGCTATACTACCTCCAGCCTCCACTAGTCAAGTTTCTCCTTCAGCGGCTGACCCTTTCTTTTGGGAGGCGTTCTTTTTAGAAATTCTGCTTGTCCTACAGCATCAGTCACTTCTGCTTTGTTTTGGGCTTTTCTGGCGCAAAAAAGAATCATTTATTTAACAGAACGCTCATCACAATCGGAGTCCTTGGGGAGCAGCCTTCCCGCTTCTTTTTGCGATGCATTTTTTATTAATGTTGACAAACAGAAGCAACAACAGCTGAAACTGGAAAGGAAAACGCCCCACAACTTTTGAATGCTCCGTTGCAGAAAATCAAATGGATTGGAAGTGTGAAGTTGTAGAACTCAAGATATCATCATAGGCCCTACTCTGGCAAGTGGCTGTGTTGGCTAGAGTAGTTGCCATTGGAGGCTTGAAGGTTTCCTATTACTGAACGTAACTCTGCAGTAACTCGTAACTCTAACTCTAAAATTCCAGAAGGATTATCACATTCCTGAGTCAGTTGCAGTAGAGTTTTATATAATACTAGCTCGATACCCGTGCTTTGCTATGAAACTATGTGGTCGGGCTTAGTTTTGGGGGAGGAAAATAAAGGGGGGGAAATTTCTGCCTCTGCCTACCAGCATCCATCGGTATTCATCTGGCTAGCATCCTGTCAGTGTGAGAGAAAGTTGAGGGCTGTTTGGAAACTGAAACAGTATTTGCTGTGTGAACAAGAAGGAGACAGCAAGGAGCCTGGGTGTGGCTTAGCTCAACTGTTCTGTACTAAAGCTGCTTGGTGCTCTGAAACTGAAACTCCTCTCCTCTGCTTGTGTTTTGATTTGGAACAGATTTCTTTTCAGGTGGGGAGGGGGAGTAGAACTCCTTAGCATCAGAGCGTGTTGATAATAGTAATATAGGAAGTACTAATGGTCATTCTGAAAAATCCTTTCTTAGTGAGCCCCTAGAAGCCAAGAAGAACATGCGTGCCAAATTTCAAGTTTGTAAGCTTTACGGTTCTGTAGATTTTGTGACGATGCGTGAGTGGTATTTTGCTTTTATACAGAGAGACTAAAGACTAACCAAGTACAGTAGTGTAAGAGTTTGTGGAATCAATCTAATTCATGATGTTAATGGTCTTCCAGCAGCAGTTCTTGAGGGTCAATTTAAGAATATTCCACCCAGTAAAAGATTGCAATACAATAGAAATACTGGCACATATTTTTATGAAATATCAGTTCTGTATCAATGTACGTAACATTGTGGTAGTTTCCAACACAAAACTAACCAGATTTTCTGGACAACTTCTATATAGCAATAATAATAGCACAGATTTATATGCCATCCCATAGTGCTTTGCAGCCCTCTCTATAAGCAGTTTACAGAGTCAGCCTATTGGCCCCCAACAATCTGGGTCCTCATTTTTACCCAGCTCGGAAGGATGGAAGGCTGAGTCAACCTTGAGCCAGTGAGAATTGAACTGCACTCAGCAGAAGTACTTTGCAATATGGCATTCTAACCACTGAGCCACCAATGTTAATACAGATAGCACTTGACTTACAAACATTTGTTTAGTGACCATTCAGTGTTACAACAGAACTGAAAAAAGTGAGCTATGACCATTTTTCACACTTACAAGTAATGCAGCATCCCCAAGGTCACAGAATCAAAATCCAGACACTTGGCCACTGACTCATATTTATGACGAGTGCAGTGTCCTGGGGTCATAGAATTCTTTATTGGCCAAGTATGATTGGACACACAAGGAATTTGTCTTGGTGCAAATGCCCTCAGTGTACATAAAAGAAAAGATACATTCGTCAAGAGTCAAGAATCATAAGGTACAACACTTAATGATAGTCATAGGGTACAATAAGCAATCAAATCATACTAGGAAACAGTCAATAAAAATTGTAAGGCTACAAGCAACAAAGTTACGGTTATACAGTCACAAGTGGGAGGGGATGTGTGGTAAGGAGTGATGAGAAGATTAACAGTAATAGTAGTGCAGACTTTGTAAATAGTTGGACAGTGTTGAGGGAATTATTTGTTTAGCAGAGTGATGGCATTCGGGAAAAAACTGTCCTTGTGTTCAGTTGTTCTGGTGTGCAGTGGTCTATAGCGTCCTTTTGAGGGAAGGAGTTGAAACAGTTTATGTCCGGGATGTGAGGGGTAAATATTTTCACAGCCGTCTTTTTGACTCCTGCAGTATACAGGTCCTCAATTGAAGGCAGGTGGGTAGTAATTGTTTTTTCTGCAGTCCTAATTATCCTCTGAAGTCTGTGTCTGTCCTGTTGGGTTGCAGAACCAAACCAGACAGTTATAGAGGTGCAGATGACCGACTCAATAATTCCTCTGTAGAACTGGATCAGCAGCTCCTTGGGCAGTTTGAGCTTTCTGAGTTGGCGCAGAAAGAACATTCTTTGTTGTGCTTTTTTGATGATGTTTTTGACGTTAGGTGTCCATTTTAGGTCATGTGATATAATAGAACCTAGAAATTTGAAGGTCTCTACTGTTGATACTGGGTTGTCTAGTATTGTAAGAGGTGGTAGTATGGGAGGGTGTCTTCTGAAGTCTACCACCATTTCTATGGTTTTGAGTATGTTCAGTTCCAGTCATGTATTTCCCTTCTGACAAGCAAAGTCCATGTTCACTTAACCATCGTGTATTTCAATTAACAACTGCAGTGATTCACTTAACAACTGTGGCACAAAAGGTTGTAGAATTGGGGAGAGGGGAAATCATTTAACAACAAGCTTAGCAGCAGAAATTCTCGGCTCAATTGTGGTTGTAAGTCAAGGACTACCTGTACTTAAAACGAGGAATCAGGAAATCCCTTCGTTTGTATTTCTATTATCTCGCACCATTGTTTTTCTTGTCCTCTGATTGGTCTGTTTCCTAAACGCCCTTTACTTTCAGTATCCTTTTCATGATCAGAGTGCTGTCTATGGCAGACAGTGTAAGGCCTGCAAGCAGAAATCTACCGTTACCTGTTGTCAAACCAGATATCTCTCTTCTTGTCTTCCTAACCCATCTAGGTAATTGAAACGAAGAATGAAATGGATTTGGACCGAGATACAGATCTCGCATACAACAGTCTGAAGGTAAAAGAAATCTCCAAACCAGCTTTTCCCCCAAAGGCCAGGTATCTGGTGATGATACTAATAACCTGCAGCAGCTTTACTGTTATCAGTCTTTATAAATCTCTCTTGCAAGAGCATTCTCTAATATCTGGTCATACTTTACTAACTTATAGTTTTCCTTTTTGTTGAATTGGAGGAGCGGAGTGTTGTTTAGATTTCAACTACCCTAAATTGAAGCTTATTTCAGGTTTCCTTTGCTTTATAAACCCACGAAGGTCATAATTGTTAGGATTGGTCAGAAAGTTACTTTTTCATCACTGTGAACCGTCACTAAAGAAAGCATTTGCTAAATGAGGACCACCTGTAATTCAACAGGGTGTACCCTTCTGTTGGTTGGTATAATTGGCTAGGGAGTGGAATTAGGATGCGTGCATGTAGAAGGATGTTTTCCTTGGATAATATTACTAGGCGGGGAAATAAAAAAGCTTGCAAAATTAGAGACCAAGCTGTAATAACAGAATAACAGAGTTGGAAGGGACCTTAGAGGTCTTCTAGTCCAGCCCCTTGCTCAAGCAGGAGACCCTGTACCATTTCAGACAAATGGCTGTCCAGTCTCTTATTTAAAACTTCAAGTGTCAGAGCACCCACAATGTCTGGAAGCAAGTTTTTCAACTGATTAATTATTTTCACTGTCAGGAAATTTCTTTTTATTTCTGGGTTGGACCTCTCCTTCGTAAGATATTCAGAATGGGTAAAAAAAAGTCAATAAAAAGTTCTTCTTGCCATTTTTAAACATCAAATACAACATAACACCTGAATATATAGAAAGGTGTTGTTTGGAGTTTGAAAGGGATTTTTTTTTCTCTATTTTTTGTTCTGTTGGATAATGGAAGAAAATTTTAGGTGGATAGGTCCAAAATCTCTATTCCAGAATTTTTGGGCCACAACTGTGGCCTAGGATTCCAAGTTATTCTATCTCAGAATTTGACTAAATGTTAGGAAGGATACCAAATTGGTCTGGTAAAAATATATAGTTCAATTGGATCTTAAAGCTGCTGCTTCTTGTTATAGAGACCTTGAAAGAAAGTGTAAAAAAAGGAAAGTCACATAGCAACTCTTATCGGTTGTATTCAGCCAGAAGAACACGTTCTCCTTGACTGTCAATTTCCTACTGTTCTTCTTAAGAAATGTTACTGCTGAATATTAACCAGGCTCATAGAAAGGACGGTTGCAGTATCACATACAAAGACCTAAAGGAATTAATTGGGACTAATTAATTAATAAATTAGGCATGCAACTCTCCTCTGAGAGAAAAGTTGAATCCAGCCATTGCCAAAGTTACTTTGAATAAAGAAATCTGAGCATCTAATTCTAGGATTTATTTCTAATTTACAACCTACCAATCTGGAGCACAGTAGGTCTCTCCAATACAGAATGGGAATTAAAAATCTACAATAAATTTAAAACACAACCCTACAGTCTTCCTACAGAATCGGGAATTCTGTATAAAACATTAACACTACTCTATTAAAGACTCGGTCTTTTGACTCAGGAGGCCGTCACCACAATTCAACCTCCCCTATTATCAAAAATGGGATTTTTTAAAAAAATCTTAATAACTAATGTTCTTCTGGGTTATAGTTTGTAAGCTCGAGCAGGGGTCTTCAACCTTGGCAACTTTAAGCCTGGTGGACTTCAAGTCCCAGAATTCCCAATCTCATCTTAAGTGTGAAAGCTGACAGGGTGATTTTGAGTCAATCACCGGGAGATGGTGAGTTCTAATCCTGCCTTAAGCATGAAAGCTGGCAGGATGACATTGAGCCAATCACCAGGAGACTGTGAGTTCTAGACCCATTTTAGGCATTAAAACCAGCTGGATGACTTTGAGCCAATCACTCTCTCTCAGCTTTGCTGGCTGGGGAATTCTGGGAGTTGAAGTCCTCCAGGCTTCAAGTTGTCAAGGTTGGAGACTCCTGAGCTAGAGGGTTGAATACCTGTGGAAATGAATAACTTTGGAGATGAAATCTCAAAACGATGCTGTAGAGAGATCAGGAGTCTGATCCCAAGTTTTGGGTAAGGGATAATTTGTACCCCGGTTTGGAGATGCTGATGATTTATTTACTTGTATCCAGCTTTTATTACTTTTACAAATAAGTCAGCAAACATATCCCGTACACCTTCCTCTTCCAGTTTTCCCCACAACAACAACCCTGTGAGGTGAGTTGGCTGAGAGGGAATGACTGGCTCAAAGTTATCCAGCTGGCTTTAATGCCTAAGATGGGACTAGAACTCACAGGCTCCTGGTGACTGGCCCAATGTCATCCTGCCAGCTTTCATGCTTAAGGCAGGATTAGAACTCACCATCTCCTGGTGATTGACCCAAAGCCAGCTTGCTTGCTTTCATACTTCAGGTGAGATTAGAACTCAGACACCTGTTCAAGCTTGATGCTTTAACCACTAGACATCAAGGCAAGACAGGTAGTAGCCTAGTCTTTCCCAAACGTGTTGGAACCATTCTCAACTCTTCGAATTCTCATTGCAATGCATCTGGAAGACCCAGACTGCAGAAAATTGTCAGTATAGCCCATTTCCTAAGTTATCACCTACGGATTTTTTTTTTAAATTTTGTGTGCAAAATTCCCTAAGGACTAAGGCATAAATAGAATTTGCCGTTTCTTCTTATTTATTTTTCACTGACATAAACAGTTTTCAGAGAAATGATTGCATTTTGAACTTTTTCATACAGACACACACACATACACACACACACACACACACACACACACAAAATGCTCATGATTAATGCAGAAGTGCTTGGAATTTGAAAGTATTTGTTTTTTCCTTTGAGGAAGCGTCAAGATAGTGGGTAGAGGTCATTGGTAAATTGTTTTCTTCAGAAACAATAAAAGTTTAGGAGGGAGTAAATCAATAGCCTCCTTTTTCTTCACTGGCGTTCCCCCTGCTTTTCCACACAAATAAGAATAGGAAGTTTCTATCTTGCAAGTGAGAGCCAATTTGGTGCAGTGATTAAAGCAGGGGTCTTCAACCTTGGCAACTTTAAGCCTTGGTGGACTTCAACTCCCAGAACTCCCAATCTCATCTTCAGCGTGAAAGCTGGTGGGGTGACTTTGGGTCAATCACCAGGAGATGGTGAGTTCTAATCCTGCCTTAAGCATGAGAGCTGGCAGGATGACATTGAGCCAATCACCAGGAGACTGTGAGTTCTAGTCCCATCTTAGGCATTAAAACCAGCTGGATGACTTTGAGCCAATCACTCCCTCCCAACTTTGCTGGCTGGGGAATTCTGGGAGTTGAAGTCCTCCAGGCTTCAAGTTGCCAAGGTTGGAGACCCCTGGATTAAAGCAACAGATTAGAAACCAGGAGACTGTGAGTTCTAGTCGTCCCCACCACCCTTGGACAGAAAACTACAGGGGTGGCCTTGGTTGAGGACCTCTCTTTCAGTCCTAGGAAGGAGACAATAGCAAACCACTGCTGATATCTTGCCAAGAAAACTGCAAGGACTTGCCCAGGCAGTCACCAGGCCTCAAAAGCTCTAAAACTGAAAAATGTTGTAAATAGTCGGTGCTGCTTCTAGAATTAATGGGGAAAGAATTAAACAGGAGATCAGAAATCAACCAAAAGAAAAAGATTGGTACCCGTAAACATACATGAAGAGAAGTGGAGTGAAGCTAATTGTCCAGTCTCTTCTTAAAACCTCCATTAATGAAGCATCCACAACTTCTGGAGGCCAGCTGTTCCACTGGTTAATTGTCATCACTGTTAGGAAGTTTCTCCTTAATTCCAGATTTTTCTCTCCTTGGTTAGTTTCCATCCTTTTGTTTCTTGTCCTGCCCTCTGGTGCTTTGGAAAATAGAGCATCTTGCAATCATGTAATCAGTTTCTAGCAAAAAGACACCCATTGGGGATTCTGGTTTTGCTTAACAAAGGCATAATTCACTTAACCACCCCCATAAAAATGGTTGTAAAATTGGGTCTGACTTGATTTATGACTGCAACAATTTACAATAGAAATTCCAGTCCTAGTTGCAACTTCAGGACTACTTATACTCAAATTATTTTACAGAAATCAGAGAGAGAAATCCATTTCAAATATTGGTAAATGAAAAGTGAGGCTCTTGGGAAATCACATTTTGTGAAAGAAGCTAAGTTTTGCTCAGAATTTCGGTGATCATAGAAGATGAAAACTTAATTGGCAAAACTCACTTAGGCAGTAATGCATTTTTAAAGGACTAGAGGTAGGTAATACGTCTGCAGCAAAAACAACAAAGATTCATGATCATCAGAGTTTTCATGGGTCTTGCAAAATCCTCCAAAGCATATGTAGATCAATGAAGTGTTATTTACTGAAAGCATTTTAACCGATTAACTGCATCCAGTTTTGGTCACCATGTTACAAAAAAGATGTTGAGACTTTGGAAAAAGTGCAGAGAAGAGACTCCGAGATGATTAAAGGACTGGAGATCAAAACATATGAAGAACAGTTGGAGGAATGAGGTATGGCCAGTCTACAGAAAAGAAGGACTAGGGGTGACCTGATAGCAGTATTTTAGTATTTCAGCTTATTTTCTGAAGCACCAGAAGGCCAGACAAGAAGCAATAGATGGAAACTAATCAAGGAGAGAAGCAACTTGGAATTAAGAAGGAACTTCCTAACAGTCAGGACAATTAACCAGTGGAACAGCTTGCCTTCAGAAGTTGTGGGTGCTTCATCACTGGAGGTTTTTAAGAAAAGACTGGACAATCACTTGTCTGAAATGGTATAGGTCTCCTGCTTGAGCAGGGGGTTGGACTAGAAGATCTCCAAGGTCCCTTCCAGCTTTATTCTGAATTGTTCGACCTAGAGGGCTTCTAAAAATCAGTTTTTACTACATGTCTTACGCCTTTACAATGTTGTACTAAAGAAATAAGGAGAAAAACAAGCCAGGGGATCAGTTTTTAATTTAGATCATTTTCATAATAACAGCTGAGATGGAAGTAATTCAAAGAAAAGAACAAAACAAGCTGAATTTTCAGTCTATGGAATCGTCCTGGTTCCTTTTCTGTCTCTTCTTTGCACCTTCTCCTATCATGTCTCTAACAAGCTGCGATATAAAATCAATCAGCCATGAAATATTATGGGTTTTCCTTTTTGATTTCTGGCACATTCTGATCTCACTTGCCCCTAAATAAGGCAGAGTAAATTTTCCTCAATACTGGAGTGAATTTTCTTCAATACTGGAGAAAATTAATCCATTGAGGGCCAAACAAAGCGATGCCCTTGTCTCCTTCAACAATTGAGAGCAATTTCTCAAGAGTGTCTGTATCAAGAGAAGGAAAAACTTAAGACTCAGACCAAAGTTTTCCTTCTGGCTCTTTCCAAGTGCAAACAAACAATGGTGACTTTGAAGAGCTCAATTTTTTGTCGTCCTTTTTTGTACTTGCTGACGGTGATCACCAGTGGATTCTTCTGAATGTCATGTTGTTGTCACTACTGTCCAGGGGTGAGATTCAAATTTTTTAACAACCGGTTCTGTGGGCATGGCTAGGTGGGCATGGCCATGTGACTTGGTCAGCGTGGGTTGTTTTTTTTGCAGCATTCCCACCCATCTTTGAGGGGCCTCCTGGGCCTCAGGGAAACCTTCTAGGGGGGCATTTTTGCTCCCAGAAGGCTTCCCTGGGACCCAGGAAGGCCAAAAACGGAGCATAGGAGGGCACAGCTCCCCCCCCTACACTCCATTTCTGGGCCTCAGGGAAGCCTCCTGGGCGAAGCAGTATGACAGCGAGGGGGATCCCGGCACAGCTGATCATTAGAACAGCTGATCGTTGGGAAAGGGGGGAAATATCTTTTAGGAGTGACTGGGCAGGGGGAACGCAGTCAGCAATATCGCACATGCGCAATAAGGACTGACTGTGTGGGGAGAGGTGGGGTCAGCCAGGGGCACGATATGCCGGTTCTCCACAGAATCATAACAACCAGTTCTATAGAACCGGTCCGAACCGATAGAATTCCATCCCTACTACTGTCCACTCAAAAGAGCAGCAGACCAGCCCACTTGGGAGAGAAATCTGCCTCTTGCATTTGATGTGGTTTGTATATTCTCTGCTTTGTTTTACCAGCTGGCCTCTCCAAGAGATGGAGAGGAACTGAATCATTAATTTAAATGTGCTCCTCCATCTGTCTTGACTTTTATCATCCGTCTCTCTGCATCTAGCTGACTGTTTTTCATGTGTTGTTTCGAACACTTAAACACACCCACCATCCATTAGTTATACAAATGTATGGAACGGGAATCACTTTTCCAATATCCTTTTTAATAGAGGCAAGAGTTAGAATCTGAGAACAAGAAACTGAAAAATGACCTAAACGAACTCAGGAAGGCTGTTGTGGATGGCGTGGTCCGAAACAATTCTTCCAATGACGTTCATGACACCTACAACCTACTCCTGAATCAGCTCAAGTCAGCTAGTGAAGAGCTGGAAGTACGGAAGGATGAGGTGCTCATTCTCCGGACCCAGATTATAAGAGCAGCCCAGCAAAAAGACGCGGGCAGAAATATGGTAACAAAAGAGAAAAGCATGTGCAACGTACCTCACTGTGCGTGTGTCCTTTTCACCGTGTTATCGGCTGTCGTGCACGTTGTTTTACTAAAATTGCAAAGTCAACGTTGTTTAGCACCTGATTGTTCATCCACTTTTTTTTTTTTTAAGCATTAACTGAGAGAGAGAGAGAGAGTGAAAGAGGGACACTTCTGATTTTAAACCCATAAACTGGAAAACAATGTAGCTTTTGACAGGCAGAGGAAATGTCTATGGAGATTTTCAATCATCCAGGTCACGATTGTCCCAAAGGTGCTTTTTCCAAAAGGCAACTGGATTTTTCTTGGATTTTTTTTTTCTTTCCAAACATTTTGCTTCTCATTCAAGAAGCATCTTAGTTGACTGGATCTTTCTATTCTCCACTAGTCAGATAGAACTGGAATTGAACTGAAGAAGCTTCTTGGTTGAGAAGCAAAATGTTTTCAAGGGGGAAAATAACCCCAAGAAACTCCAGCTGCCTTTTGGAAAAAGAGCCTTTGCAGAGGAAATATGGCAGATAAAGCAGTGATAAAATCATCGGGCCTTCAAAATCAGTCAAATGTGGCCTTGAAAATCCTACACCTTGAATCCAGCTTTGGCAGATAAAGGAATGATATGCTACTTGCTTTTCTTTTGTGTCTTGACAACAATGCAGTAATGGAAATGGATGGTGAGTCACAGTGGTGCAGTGGTTAGAGTGCAGTACTACAGGCTACTTCTGCTGACTGCCAGCTGCCTGCAATTTGGCAGTTCAAATCTCACCAGGCTCAAGGTTGACTCAGCCTTCCATCCTTCTGAGGTGGGTAAAATGAGGACCCAGATTGTTGGGGGTGATATGCTGATCCCCGTAAACCGCTTGTAAAGCACTGTGAAGCGGCATATAAGTCTATTGCTATTGACCATCTTGAGCTGCAATCCGTAGAGCAAATGGTTAGTTCTCAGCTCCAAGTGATGATCTAGGGTGGGAATAAGAGCTGCTCTGAGGTTTGTGGAAGAGCTTCAGAAGGTTTCCCATTCCTAGTCTTCCATTGGACTTGGTGGGGCCTTCAGTGGGTTTTCAGCAAACAAAGCCATGGATGTAGCATTGAATCAGCATATGTGACAAACCACGAGTTAGTAGAGGACAAGTTTAGCTGGGATACTTAATTTTGGTTCTTGCATTAAGCAGCAGAATGGCCCTTGGGATTTAAATATGCCATTCTGACTCCATGATAAGGAAACTGAAAGATTTGGAGATCTATGATGACCAGAGGATTCTTAGGCCAGTCTGGACCAAGATTTACATCTGCTTTAAAATAGTAGATGCCCAGGTTGGTTAGGAAAAAAAGAAATTAGCTGCTTCGGAGGTAGAGCTATGCTAGTGTGTTTTTCTATTCCTGCTTCATGATGGAAGTTTCTGCTGTCAAAAGGCTGCAGTCAAGTCCCAGGTGCTTTCCTTAGGAAGTTGCCCAAGTACAAGAAAAGCCTGGTTTATATCAGGGGTCTCTAACCTTGGCAAATCAAGGTTGTGGATTTCAAACCAAGGCTTGTGGATTAGAACTCTCAGAATTCTAGTCATGCTGGCTGCAGAATTATGGAGTGGAAGTCGACAAATCTTAAGGTTTCCAAGGTTGGAAAGCCCTGGTTTACAGGTGAAACTTGAAAAATTAGAATATTGTGCAAAAGTTCATTTATTTCAGTAATGCAGCTTAAAAGGTGAAACTAATATATGAGATAGACTCATTACATGCAAAGCAAGATAGTTCAAGCCGTGATTTGTCATAATTGTGATGATGATGGCTTACAGCTCATGAAAACCCCAAATCCACAATCTCAGAAAATTAGAATATTACAAGCAATCAATAAAACAAGGATTGTACATAGAACAATATCGGACCTCTGAAAAGTATAAGCATGCATATGTACTCAGTACTTGGTTTGGGCCCCTTTCTCAGCAATTACTGCCTCAATGCGGCGTGGCATGGAAGCTATCAGCCTGTGGCACTGCTGAGGTGTTATGGAAGACCAGGATGCTTCAATAGCAGCCTTCAGCTCTTCTGCATTGTTCGGTCTCATGTCTCTCATCTTTCTCTTGGCAATGCCCCATAGATTCTCTGTGGGGTAAGGGTCAGCCAAGTTTACTGGCCAGTCAAGCACAGTAATCCCACAGTCATTGAACCAGGTTTTGGTGCTTTTGGCAGTGTGGGCAGGTGCCAAGTCCTGCTGGAAAATGAAGTCAGCATCCCCATAAAGCTTGTTTGCAGAAGGAAGCATGAAGTGTTTCAAAATGTCCTGGTAGATGGCTGCGATGACCCTGGATTTAATGAAGCATAGTGGACCAACACCAGCAGGTGACATGGGTCCCAAATCAACATAGACTGTGGAAACTTCACCCTGGACTTCAAGCATCTTGCAGTATGTGCCTCTCCATTCTTCCTCCAGACTCTGGGTCCTTGGTTTCCAAATGAGATGCAAAAGTTGCTCTCATCAGAAAAGAGAACTTTGGACCACTGAGCAACAGACCACTTCTATGTTTCTTTAGCCCAGGTAAGATGCTTCTGACGTTGTTTGTTGTTCAGGAGTGACTTGACAAGAGGAATTCGACATTTGAAGCCCATGTCCAGGATCCCTCTGTGTGTGGTGGCTCTTGATGCAGTGACTCCAGCCTCAGTCCACTGCTTCTGAAAGTCCCCAACACTTTTGAATGGCCTTTTCCTGACAATCCTCTCCAGGCTGCGGTCATCCCTGCTGCTTGTGCACCATTCTCTTCCACACTGTTCTCTTCCACATAACTTTCTATTAATGTGCTTTGATACAGCACTTTGGGAACATCCAACTTCTTTTGCAATTACCTTTTGAGGCTTTCCCTCCTTACGGAGGGTGTCAATGGTGGTTTTCTGCACAACTGTCAGGCCAGCAGTCTTTCCCATGACTGTGATTCCGACTGAACCAGACTGAGAGACCATTTAAAGGCTCAGGATCCCTTTTTGCAGGTGTTACGGCTTAATTCGCTGACTAGAGTGGGACACTTTGAGCCTAGACTATTGAACCTTTTCACAATATTCTAATTTTCTGAGATTGTGGATTTGGGGTTTTCATGAGCTGTAAGCCATATTCATCTCAATTATGACACATCACGGCTTGAACTATCTTGCTTTGCGTGCAATGAGTCTATCTCATATATTAGTTTCACCTTTTAAGTTGCATTACTGAAATAAATGAACTTTTGCACGATATTCTAATTTTTCGAGTTTCACCTGTATATGCTCCTCTATTGTATTCACTTGGGAGAAGTTCCTTATATTCCAAAGGCCTTTCTCCAGCTGATCTAATGATGGGCACATTGACAGGATGGTTTTAAAAAAATGATGGCACTGCAAAACATAAATAAACTGAAGTGGAAGGTAAAGAAATTTCCACAGGCAAGAACCTGGTGTTTGATTAACCAACCAGTTTCAGTTACATTAACACTAATTTCAAAAGAGGTGCAAGCATCAGTAAAAGTAATTCGTATTTCAAAGCACTTGCGTTGGGAAAACATTGACTCAAAAGTCTTAATCAGGGAAAGGCATGGGCCAGAGAATAAAAACAAATTAATTTGTATTTTTGAAAAGGCATTTATGCAGGTACATTTAAATAATAATAATAACAACAATAATAATAACAACAACTCCTGTACAAACATGAGAAAAAGATGTGTTCAAAGACAATGTATGCAAAGTCATTTTGGATGGAAAGATAAGCAGATATATATACATACAGACATACAGACATACAGACATACATACACACACATAAATGTTAGCAAACATTTTGTTAATTGAGAAAAATGCTAATGCGTTTAAGAAAATGAATTGGGTGTTAATTGATTTGCTTATCAGGCTTCTCCTAAGGCAATATCAAAGTTAATCCTTATAAGAAACACACCCGTGCACGGTTTTTGCATTGACAATTTTCCTTTTCTAAAGCTTTTTGCAAGCTTTGTGAGATTGTCAGCATTATGATGGATGTGCAGAATTAATATTAGGATTATTTTACAAAACCACAGAATTTCTACTTTAGGGTTGCATCTCAGGGATTTTTTTTTTTTAAATAGGAGAATAGAGGAGGAAGGAATATTAGTTAAAATTCTGCTAAGCATCATTTTTCTCTCTGCAACAGCTGAACTAATACAAAGACTAATTTCTGTGAATGACTTTGACTATACTTGGTATAATTCCGCTAGTACTGTAATGAATTTTATAATTTTCCCCATTTCACTTTCAATTTTAAGCCCTCCTAGAAGGCACAGTGGTTAAAAATGCCAAACTTATCAGCTGGAAAGCTGACAGCCTGGGTTTGAGACCCAAACACCATGTGACGGGATGAGCTCCCATTCCTTCCCCAGCTCCTATCTACCTAGCAGTTTGAAAGCATGCACTTGCAAGTAGATAAATAGGTACCACTTTGATGGGAACAATGTTCCATGCATCTTTCGTGTACAGCCATGCTGGCCACATGATCATGTAAAAATGTCTTCAGACAATGCTGGCTCCCTTGGCCAAGAAACAGATTTGAAACACAACTGGACAGGGAAAACTTTTCGATCCCAGTGTTATTCTATCACTGATTTCTTCTCCTTGTAAGCTGGCAAACACATTGATTTTATGTTGGTATCATATATTCCTGCTCCTAAATTTGGGAGCAGTGATTTTGTGAAATGAATTATTTAGTATATTTCAACAGAGAATCCTCATTGCTTTTTAAAAAGTAGGATTTTTAGAGGAGAGGGAAGAAAATTAAACCAGATTTTTTAATCAATCCTCAGTCTCTCTCTCTCTCTCTCTTTCTCTTTAACTTCCTTTAGGTTGTATTAGTTGGGCTTTTTCTATTAGCTTTCAGTTCATTTATTTTGTGGCTGTGGTAAATGTGCTTGAAACCCAAATTAGTGCATGCACAGCACAATCAACATATTATGAAAAATAGCAATAATTTTATGAGGCAAAATATTGATCTTTTGACTTTTTTTTTAAGGAATCAAACCTCAAGACGCAAACCAGCTGGCCCAATAGCGACAAACATGTGGATCCAGAAGATGCAATTGAGGCCTATCATGGAATGTGTCAAACTAATCGGTAAGCTGTTTTGATCTATCCATCCATCCAGAAAAATTAGAATTGGGTCCTCCTTAAACTCACTTAAACACTTTGAATTAATTGGAAGGAATGTCATCAGAGCAGATAATCAACAGTGAGAGTACTATTAAAAGAAATACTTCCTCTTACAAAAACATCACCTATACTCTGGGCTATGTGTGGTGTGCCTATTTGTGGACTTATAATATTTCTTGAAGACGTATCATAATCTTTGTGTGTTGTTGGGAACTTCTGAAGAACTTTTTTGCAGTATCTGGCAACCATCCTAAATAGTAAGAGGAACCGAATTCTTTTTAAATCTCACTGTGGAGAACAATTTACAAACTTAAGTGTACCAAAAGTGCTTTTCAAAAGACAACTGGCCTTTCTTGGTTTTTTTTTCCTTGAAGACATTTCACTTTTCATCCCAAGAAGCTTCTTTAGTTTAACTAGCCTAGTGCCTTAACCACTAGACTTCTTTCTCTCTCTCTCTCTCTTTCTCCCTCTCTCTCATTAATATTAGTCACATTAAAAGTTAGCTGTTTCTGAAGCAAGGATCTTACCTAGAACCTTGAAAAGGACGAAACCTGGAACCTTTTCCTGAAAAACATCCACATTTACTACTTTTAAGTAGAGAAGTTTCAGTTAGCATTCTTTTGATTGTCGTTTGGGGTATCAATCTTGTAAAATACTGAAAGAAAGCAAATCTATAGCTACAGTTGTCCCCAGCCATTTCTTCTCTGTGAATGTTAGTCATTCTCTTGTATATATTGATTTTTCTCTTGTTGGCCTATAATTCTCCCTCCTTCTAGCTCACATATTTTTATCCCTTTGCTACTGTTATCTTCGTCAACTCTGCAAACATTTCTCTGGCCAAGTTTTCCCTCACATTGACTTGAAACCCATTCGCAGCCCTGTTAACTGCTGGATTTATAAGTGCTGAATCTAATCATAATATGACAGTTATGTCAAAACCACTGGTCTTTTCACACTGATCTTGTTCCCTCCCTCCCATATATTCAGAACCATGATATTTCTTAAATGGTGGCATATACGGAAACTAAGATTGACTGAATCCCGTTCATCAATTCCTGTTGCCGATCCGCTTCCTGGGACTCCCTCCTCTTCCCAATTTGTGGTCACCTGAGGTCCTCACTGAACAACCTACACAGTCCTCAGGTTACAACAGCAACAGGGAATGCCAGGATTGCCATCACTAAGCGATGAGGTGATGTAACCTTGTGCATTATGTCCACAGTACTTAGCGATAGGAATTCTGGTCCCAATTGCTACCATAATCCAAGGACTACCTCTAAAGAATGATAGGGCTGGAAAGAACCTCAGAGGTCTTCTAGTCCAACCCCCCTGCTTAAGGCAGGTACCCTATACCATCCTAGTCTATTTTTGAAAACCACCAATGATGGAGCACCACCAACCCTGGGAGTCAAGCTATTCCATTGATTAATTGTTCTCGCTGTCAGAAAATTTCTCCTTACTCCTAGGTTGGCTCTCTTTTTAGCCAGTTTCCATCCAATAGACATTAAATCCTGAAGCTGACTGGTCAGTGCTGGTGGAAAGGGAAAGAAACTTAAGTCTGGAGAATTCACCAGTTCTTTTTCTCTCAGTTGTTTTTGCATACAGGAAATAAAGAAGCGATCGATTATTGGGTGGCATTGCCTCGAATAGGATCACTAGTGGGGCCAGTAGTTGGCCACTTGTGCCAGTATAGTTATTGGATATAGACTCATTTGGGAGTTTCTGGACTTGTCTATCTTAAAAGTGCCATGGTGGCACAGTGGTTAGAATGCAGTACTGCAGGCTACTTCTGCTGACTGCCAGCTGACAGCAATTCAGTAGTTCGATCCCCACTAGCTCAAGGTTGACTCAGCCTTCCATCCTTCCAAGGTGGGTAAAATGAGGACCCAGCTAGTTTGGGGGCAATAGGTTGACTTTGTAAACCGCTTAGAGAGGGCTGTAAAGCACTGTGAAGCAGTATATAAGTCTAAATGCTACTGCCATTAAACTTTCATTTGGAATGGAACCTGAACAGCTTGATGTTTAAGGCAGAATAGATTGCAGTTCTTTAAAACAATTTAGTTATTATTGCATGTGGGCCCCTGCCGGCCTCTCATCTCCTGCAGTCTAATAAGATATAAATGAACTACTGTGACAGGTCATCTCATAAAAAGCAAGGCAACATCCATCTAAAAGAAAAGATTTAAGGGTCATGCCTCCAACAAGAAGTTCTTCATTGATCAATGGAATTATGAACCAGTTTTCCATTTATTTAATAGGGGCCAAGCTGTTACAGTTGTTCCCTGTTTGTAATTTGAGCTATTGTTGAAATCAATACTAATGGTACCCTTCTCAAGTCACTTTCTTTACAGAATAGGAATTTTAGGAGATATTTTGCAAACAATGAGAGAGTCAAATCTGCAATTCTGATTTCTTGCAGCCTGTTGAGGAACCCTGCTAGGCCTTATTCTTGATAGGCCAAATTGATCTTCAGTACCTTGTTCAGCAGTTGCGTACTTATGCTTAACAATCACTGCTTTGTAATATTTAAAAGACTGTTTCCTAGTTCCACCCCATTAGAGGGGAGATTCAAGTTATTTCTCCCAAGTTGTTAACGGGAACCTCTCTGTTCCAGGCCAGGGTTCACGTGGCATTCGTTCTATGGTTTATTTCCATCACTTTAAGCTTTTTTTTTTTTCCATCACAGCTTCTTTCTATGAATCCCTAATCCTCAAAACAGGATGGAGGCTTTAGCTTTTTGTGCTATTCACCACAACTCTATTTTTTTTTTGGCACCTATAATTTACATGAGGAGGAGAAAGCTCATTCTCTGACACAGATTGCTTGTGGATGCGGTTGCTAGGCCAGAGTGAAGCCAACACAAGATTTTTTATTTATTTCTATCCCATCTTTACTATTTTTGCAAACAACATATCCAGCATATCTTTCTCCTCCTATTTCCCTCACAACAACCACCCTACAAAGTGGGTTGGGAAAATGACTAGCCCAAAGTCACCCAGACTGCTTTCGTGGCTGAGGCAGGACTTGAACGCACAATCTCTGGCTTTCTCGCCTGGTGCTTTAACCACTAGACCAAACTGGCAAAGCCTTTAGGTCCCCATGCAGAGGGCTTGCTTTGAAATGATCCCTTGGTTCGACCATCTGCAGCTGTGGAAGTTTGCACTCCAAGTGAATTGGGTGTGTTTAACGTCTTCTGTAGTCAAGCCTTCAGGTTATGAAGGGATACATTTATTGATCAATCTGACACTTTTTCTATGACTATATTTCAGGACAGCGGGGAATTTCTCCCCCACTTAGAATGAATTAAAGTGTCATAAGTGAGGTCTGTAACCTGAGGTCCTATTTTTCAGTTCTAGGATAGGAGAGGACAGGACAGGACAACAGAACAGGACTGGAGGGATCTTGGAGGTCCTCTAGTCCCCTATACCAGTGATGGCTAACCTTTTCATCGTTGCATGCTGAAAGTGTGTGCATGTGCATCCATAATGCAATGCACACGTGCATCCCCCACGCGTGTGTGTGTGTGTGACACCCCCGCACTCCCCCCACTTACAGCACACATGCCATAGGTTCGCCATCATGGCCCTATCCCCTTTCACACAGGTGGCTGTCCAGTTTCTTCTTAAAAACCTCCAGTGATGAAGCACCCACAACTTTCTAAAGGCCAGCTATTCCACCGGTTAATTGTTTTCTCTGTTAGGAAGTTTCTCCTTAATTCTAGGTTGCTTCTCTCCTGGATTAGTTTCCACCCATTGTTCCTTGCCTTGCCTTCTGGTGCTTTGGAGAATAATTTGATCCCCTCTTCCTTGTTGGCAGCCCCTCAAATATTTGAATTCTGCTATCATCTCCCCGCTAGTTCATCTTTTCTCTAGACTAGCCAAATCCTTGCAACCAACCGTTCTTCATATGTTTTAGTCTCCAGACCTTTGGTCGTCTTCGTTGTTCTTCTCTGAACTTTTTCCAAAGTCTCGGCGTCTGTTTTGTAGCTGGTAACCAAAATGGGTTGCAGTATTCCAGGTGTGGCCTCACTAGGGCTTTTGTAAAGCTGTACTAATACAATACTTCACGTGATTTTGATTTCTATGCCTCTTGTTTATACAACCCAAGATTGTATTTGCTTTTTTGGGCTGCTGCTGGCTCCTTTTCAAGTGATCATCCACTAGGATCAGGTGATATCACAGACGTCCCACATTACAGTTGCTCAATCTGGGTTATGTTTATCATGCAAACCATGGCTGGCTGGCTTGGACCACTTTGGCCGTTTTGATGTACCTATGCACATTGGACCATTAAGAAAGGCTTTGAAAACACCCAGAAACACTCTTTCAGTTTTGCAAGATAGGGCTTTCCTTCCTTCGCCCTGTCATCAAAAGTTGCCTGGTACACAGCATCGCACGTTTAGTAAGTACAGTACACAGATAATCCTTGATTTATGACCGTAATTGAGACTGGAATTACAGTCCTAAGTCATGATGGTCATTAAGCAGGTCACCATGATGGTCATTAAGCATGAGACTGCCCCTGCTTTGGGGACATTTTTTGCAGGGATTGTTAAGCAAATGCTGCAATTGTTAAACCAACACCACAGTCGTTGAGTGAACGCCATAGTTAAGCAAACCTTTTTTCCCCCAAGGTGTACAGGTAGTCCTTGACTTACAACAATTCATTTAGTGACCATTCAAAGTTACAACAGCACTGAAAAAAAGCGACTTATGGCCGTTTTTCACTCTTAAGACCATTGTAGCATCCCCATAGTCAGGTGATCAAAATTGAAATGCTTGGCAAGTGACTCGTATTTATGACGGTTGCAGTGTCCTGGAGTCCCTTTTGTGGCCCTCCAGCAAGCAAAGTCAAGGGGGAAGCCAGATTCACTTAACAACAATTTGACTAATTTAACAACTGCAACAATTCACTTAACAACAGTGGCAGGAAGTGTTGTAAAATGGGGCAAAACTCACGTGTCA